GCCGTAGCCGCAAGCCTGAAGGTGCGGGCTATGCAGGGAGGTCCTGTGCCTCCCGCCCCCCCCCACCAGCAAATCCCTACACTTTTCTCTGGACTCTCTCTGGCACCCTAGCGTGGCATTGCCCCCTTTGCAATCACTCAAAGCCGTCACCCTCCCATAGCAGCCTCCCACAGCCATCCTCTGTATCTCTGTGACGCCACCCTTATATCCCTGGCCTCCAGGCCCAGGTGTGCCCACTTATGCATGCCCGCACCGTACTACAGGTGTCCACAATCAGGCGCCTGTGCCCTGCTCTCACGCTCCCAATGGCCTTCTGCGTCAACACCATCAAGGCTGCAGGTGATACCCACAGAGGCTAGTGGTGCAAAAAGCCTGATTAATTCACTCCCTACCCATACTCATGGTTTATTTTCTCCTCCAGCAGCCAGTAGTTCTGGTATGGTCAGGAGAAAGTTGACTGATCCAGAACTAGGGTTTTGACAGGGGTACAGTGCTCATTCCAAGTGAGTTTGTTTACTACGAAAACCCACTACTTCACTAACTCTTTGTTCAGCTATGAGTACAGCTTGACAGAAAGTCGGGCATCATAGTGAGTCTCTATTACATGTTCTATGTACTTTCAATGAATTACACGCACTGTTTTCATACTTTTTATTTTTCCCTGTTGTTCTGTTCATTCTTATTATATTTCTGTAAGGTGTTTTAATGTCTATTGAATCTAGTAATTTGAAAACAATGGTCTTGTATTTCATTTTTATTTTCCCCCATTCCTCATTACTGTGTTACAAAATATTGGCTCATGATGGACTAATTAAAAAACAATGACCAACCCCTGACCACCCACTGATCCAACATGAAGTCCCAGGGGGTTGGCAGGCTGCTGTCACCTGGCTAAGTGTCCCCTGTGTTGTCACGCTGGGCCAGGACTAGCCTCAGAGAATGGAAATAGCAGATGGGGGTGGAGGTGCCAACCTAAAACTTTTCTTGATGGGCCAGTTCCACAGTGTCTGCAGGACTCGGTCAGCTACGCAGAACAGTGACTTCTCCAGCCACAGGCTAATGACCCAGGAGTGACAGAGGCCACTGTGGACTGGAACTCAGGCAGCGGGCACAGTCAGTGACCACAGGCTGCCACGGCTCCTCTGACCTTGCTGTCAAGGGTGATTTGCGGAGGCCTGTTTTCTGTTTTCTGGCTTTTCTCTTCTGTCCCTAAACTTCTGCCTGCCATGTGTGAGTTTCTGCCAGTGCCTACCCTCCAATGCTGCTGCTGCCTGCCCCCCAAGTCCTGCTGAAGTCTGAGCTGCCCTGCATGTGGGAGGGTCCAGGCTTACCTTCTTTGGACCTGTCACATCTGCTTTCACAGGCATTGCTGAGCCTCGGGGCTCTAGCTGCCCTCTCTGGGTTTGTGTTTTGGGAGACTTGAGAAGCAGGGTCAGCCTGAAGCTTAGGTGTCTGACATGAGGATGCCCAAGTCCTGCTGAAAAAACACTTCCTCCCCTTTGAGCTCAACCATAGGAATAATTTTTTTTTTTTTTTGAGAAAAACAGGGTGGGTGAATTTCAAAATATGGCTACACATTAGTACAGAATATATTTTGTAAACAAATTTTTCAAATGCTTTCCACTCTCTCCTGGCTGTGAAGGGATATGTGAGGTGGTTTCCTCCCTGCTCTTTGCTGAATTTCTTCACTTTTACCCCCATTCTATATGTATGCTGTCCCTGTGGCCTGGAGTGGCCCCTCAAGCTCACCTTCTGAACTTGGACCTGCCTCATGAAGTTCCCCAGGTGTCTCCACTGGCTGGGCAAAATCGCCTGCCTTGGCAGCAAACCCACTTGATTTTAACAGGATTAGAACAGGGCCCGGTCCCTTGGCTTGTCTCCCAGCGCCATCTACTGGCTTCAGAAAATAAATCCTCTCTGGATAGGATAGTTTCGTCATGAGCTCAAATGTGCAAAAATTTTTTTTCTAAATCTCCACTTAATCCCTGTTAAGAGCGCCCAATCAATTCAGGTAATTAAGACTAACTTTCATCTCCATCAGCTTCTCCCAGGTGGCTTCTAGGTTCTGGATGCAGCACTCTTGGGGGAGATATTGTCCCTGTTGGAAAGGCTCCCCAGGGCATACCTGCCTCTGCCCCCAGAAGTTTTGGAAGTGAGTCTCACATCTGTCTGAATCCAGAGACTTGAGACAGACCCTGGGGATCTGTCCACTGAGACCCATCTGCTGACCCTTCTACCCCACCCCACCCCACCCCACACACACACTGCCCCGTGGCGGGGAGTGAGAGGGGGCGGTGAGAAGCCTGGGTGCGGTTCTAGAACAATACCCCTTTCTCAGGCCCTGCTGAGAAGCCAGCTCAAGTGTCCTTGATGACCCAGGCTCTCTGGGGCTTCAGCCCAGACCCTGGACTTGACCCAGGCTGAGGGAAGAGTGAAGGGCTCCCACACCCGCGGTGGGTGGGAACCCTCTTCAATCCGCTCCTTCACACGCCAGCTTGCCCTCCATCTTTTGTTCTTATACTAAAACATATACTCAAGCTTTTTCTTTCCTCATAATTACGAATCTGACATCTTTGTTTTCTGGTTCCACTAACTGCCTCTTGGACTTCCCCTTGGATTGCGGTGCCCTCCGGGGAAGCTTCTGGGCTGGTGCAATGCTTGGGTACCCATGAAGAAATTCAGCATAACAAGGAGAAATCACACCCACAAGCAGCCTCCTGCCATGGCCCCAAGGCAGAGGATGCATTTATTTTTGGTTTACATTGAAAAGAGTATTAGCTGCCCACCTTTTGAGAGTTCCTTTCCTCCTGTCTTCCTTTTTTTTTTTTTAAATATTATTTGCTTGTGTAGAAACATCTGAAGATGTCTTGCTGATAGATGTCAGGCACTTTTTATCTGATCCTTTAGCTAGACACCACCAGGTCACCTTTTTTTTTGTGTAGCCACAGGACAATGATTGCATTTGGGAAATTTAATTTTAGTACAATATATTTAACTATATGCTCAATTTTCAAATTTCTGCCCCCCCCCCAATATGCTTTTATAGCATCTTTTCCAATTCAGGATCATGAATTGCACTGTTGTCTTGTCCCTTTATTCTCCTTTATCCCGGAACTGCTCCGTAGTCTTGTTTTCATGATGTTAACATTTTAAAAGCAAATAGTTACATCTTTTCATAAAATGCCCCTTAATTTGGGTCTGTCAATTGTCATCCTCAGATGCCTTTTTGGCAGAACAACACATGAGTAACAGGTCCATCTAGTATATCACTACCAGGAGGCACCTGATGGTCGGGATGAGTTATTTCTGTGTTTACAAAATGGTCTTGCTAACTATAGCCCTTCTCTGTGGGTCCCTTACTACTCTACGTGAAGGAAGTGCTTTGAAGATTGCATTTAGGAGCCTCTTCCCACCCTCCTCCACACCTTTACCTCTACGTGGAAGGCCTTCTCCACCAGGCAAGCTCTGCCATCCTTGAAGGCCAGGTCTGCAGTCACCAGAAAGCCACCCCGACCCCAGCTGGGCAGAAACCCACCCAACCTCCTCCCTCCTTCAAGAGGGCTGCAGCTGTCCAACTTCAGAGCCCCTCAGACAAGGAAAGGAACACACTTCTCGTGGCAGGACTCCCACCTGTCACCACCTGACCTAGCACAGTGGCTCTCAAACCTGCAAGGCCCAAGGTCACCTGGGTGCTTGCTAAAAGACTCCTGGGGGTGGGTGTCTGATGAACTACCCCAAAACTCATTGGCTTGACAACAAAGGTCTATTTCTCCCCCCAGGTCATATGTCAAATGTGAGTGAGCAGGGCAGTCTGGACAACACATTTCCTCAGACACAGACTGGAGGCTCCATCAACTTTTCACTATTTCAACACATGGCGTTGGGCCTTTCGCCTGGAGGACCAGGCATGGATTTTCTACTTCACATGGCCCACTGGCAAGAAGTAGTCATGAGCCTTGTTGAGACCAAGTGGCTGAGGAATATGGGGATAAGATGGGTCATTTGGAGAGCACTATGGTATCTCTGCCATACCCCTCTCCCCTTATCCTACCTGCCACACAGGTCTCTCTGCTCCTCAGGCACCAGTCTTGCCTACCTTTGGGCTTCTGCACTACCTGCTTTCCCTGTCCAAATGCTCTTGTGCCAGACCTCACATGGTTGACTCCAGAGCCTCCTCCCAACTGCCCAAAGTACCACCCACTCCCTCACTGTTGTCTTCCTTCTCCTTATTAGATTGTGCATGCACACCACGCGAGAAGTCACGCACCCTATGCCCACTACCTAAAATATTGCCTAGAACAAGCACATGGTAGATAGTCAAACTTATTTACACGACAAATGAACTTGAAGGTATATTATTGTCCCCATTTTACCGGTTAAAAAATAAATGGAGGCCCCACAGAAAATAAGTGGCTTGCCCAAGGTCACACCATTACCAAATAGTAGGCCTTGATTTAAAAATCCAAGATGCTGCCCCCAACTAGCATGTTTGCTTACATAATTTAACTGATTCTAAATAGTAAATAGATTTATTTCATCCTTCTGTTCCCACAGGTCTCTATCTGGTGACTGACCCTCCACCATCTTTGGTTTTAAATTCTCTTAATTCTACGGAGGCGACATCTGGGAATTTATCCCACATATGTGCACGCATATGTGAAAATTTGTGTATATGCAATGTAATATAAAAAAAGATTAGAATTACCTCAACACACAGCTATAAGGAACTTGCCCATAGGGGTGTATATATATTCACAGTGGGTGAGTGCACATGGTGGAATAGTATGCAGCCCTGAAAAGTAAAAACTTTCAGGTTGACTGGAAAGTTGTCTCAGGTATAGTGTTATTATAGTGTTATCTTAAAAGAAAAGGTGGATAGTACCGTATTTAAAATATAACTTTCATTTAAATTCCCCAAAGAGCAGAATAACTTCAAGTCTTACATGAAAGATCTCCTCCATGAAAAGATAAATACAATTCAGAATACCAATGTAGTTTCCATCATTTGAACTTATTTTATTGATATTCATGAGCAAATAAAATTTTATTGTTGATTTTTGATGCATTACAACACACTTTTTGGTAGTGGTTGCACAAGGTTGATCGTTTTTTTATTTACTACACTAAATACTGCAACCTCCAAATTGCTGATTTTTACACTGATATTTCCTTTGTGATGAAGGGTGGCTCCTCTCTGAATACATAAAGTGGTCCATTCAGTTCAGGGTTTTCACATTCCTTTGTTATTCTACCTACTGCTTTAAAATACATTCAAATAAAAAGATATAAGTTCCTTGCAGTGAGTGCACACATACTACAGTAAGGAGAGTTGGAAACATAATTAACCAATGCCCTCATGTTCAGAGAACAGTCTGAAATCATGGGATCAAAGCTTGTTCCTGGGGACTTTCTCAAAGCATCTTCAGTGGATGTAAGATTACACTCACTCAACTGAAGGTCACATCTTTTGCTAAGGGGGGTGGTGGGGCATGTGGGATGCAAAGTGAGTTTCATTTGCATATGAGGTGATCCTTCCATCCATGTCTGGACCAAATGGACATGGCACACCTTGATGTACAGTGCGGTCCTCAGATTAGAATAAATAAGTTATTGGATTGGGATGCCACAGAGACACTGTGACAGGAGCTGGAAAGGAGAGAGGATGTTTGTTTACAATATAGCACACACAAATAATAAATAAAAATTCAAGACTTTGTAGGTAGGTGACAGCAACAGGACCAGGCTCCCTGTTCCTTCACGGCTCTCCTCACAAGCACCTCTACCTTTCCCTAAGGATAAAAAGTGGCACAAGGAGACAAAGGGCTGGGGGAGGGGGCGCGGAGGAAGATGGCTGGCTGTGATCACTCTGTTCTGAAACAAAAAGGCAAAACGTGGACACAGAATGGCAGCCACAGAAGACCACATGAGCGATGGCCCGGGGACCAGTGTCAGGTTTTGGGGTACGGACTGGCGCCAGCAGGACGCCAAGCCTCCATCCTTCCTTGAACCAGTTTGGTATCGCGTCTGGTTGTGGTTCTTCTCTTTCTCTTTCGCTGTTGCCAAATCTCACCACCTTCCCCATCTCCTGTTCTTACACTGTCTAATCAACGTGGTTGTGACACTGGGTTCCAGAAATAGGCTGCTACCTCACTGGTGGTTTGGGGTGTTGGAAACCTGTATGCCGGTGTCGTCCAGAGGGAAAACAGACACTGTGACTTCCATCTAGTACCATTACTTCCCTGAATAGAAAAAAAAGGGAGACCCCAATCACACAGAACACACAGGGGCTGCTGAACGGCGCAGCACAAGTGGAAATACATTCTCTTTTGGGTCAGATGTCTGGCCTGAGAGCTGATGACAAAACATCAAAGGATGACTTCGGGTGGAAGGCATGAAAGGAAAGTCACACCTCGAAAAGGAAGCGACCGTCCCTTGAAGCAGAATAGTGTAGGTCTTGGAGAAGCCGGGCCACCCATCAAAGAAACGAGCAGCTCTCCCATCACGAGAGCTACAGCGGCTGCATGTGGCCAGGCCGAGGCTTCTTACCAGGTGGGCGAGGTGGCCGCGGCGGCACCCAGGCCGGAAGCGCTGTGCCCATGCCAGGGGACAGCGCCCCAGGTGAAGCGCTGGCAGCCAGCCAAGAATTCACTGGTCCCTATCCATGGGATAAGAACACACTTGGGAGTTTCAGTGCTTCTTAAAGGAAAGAAGGAGAAAAGGACACCTGCCCGCCCCGCCCGCAGGCCAGCACTGGCGAGTCCTCAGAGCGAGGACGGTGCTGGGGCGTTTCCAGTTGGATCCAAGGACGGGCAGGGCGAGGCCAAGAGCGCCAAGTCTTATGTACACATTTTACACAGTCTCCACTCTTCCCCCACTAGGCACGAGGTTGATTTGTCTAGCGCAGGAGGGGTGGGCAGAGGAGGGAAGAGGGACAGTGCGGTGCGGGGTGGAGAGGGAGGCGGGCGTAAGACCAGTCTGCTCCAGGAAGGGCCCCTCCCATCCTCACCGCAAGCTAGTCTGTTTGGGGAGCTTAGCACCCATTAAGATGCCCGAGGTGAGAGTCACGGGGGCTTTCATCTGCATGCTGGACCCCACCATGGTGGGGAAGCTGCGATTCCGCCGGATGCCGCTGTTGAGCTGCAGCCCGCCGATGGCGTTGGTGACGGTGGGGCATCCGAGAGGCAGGCCCTCGGGTACCAGGCCTCCAGGGACGAAGGTCTGCGCTGGGCCAGGGGGCCCACAGAGGAGAGGTCCTGGTTCCTCCACCAACGTGGGGATGTGGGCTCGCCCTGAGTTCACCACTTTGGCCACGCCAAACCTCCTGACTTTGTCCACGAGGTTGAGGTTGGAGACAGACACATCCGTCTGGCTCTCGCTGCTCCGGACGTTCTTCTTTTCCCTCACCTCCCTCAGGATGGAGCTGGCCGGCTTGGAAGCCAGGAAGTTGTCATAGGGAGGGCTCGTGCACTTGAACTCGAAGGAGGGCGGTGAGGAAGTGGGTGTCTGCATAGGTGAGTTGGGCGGGGTGGAGGGGATCACAGCCATCCTGGGGGTGTAGGAGTGCAGGAGGGAGCCCCGGCCGGCCCTGTCCCAGCTCTGGGGGTCGTACACGGCCGCGGAAATGCCCCGTTCCTTCAGCAGCCACACCAGCCCCAGAGACGTGCTCATGGTGGTGGTGGACTCACGGGTGTTGGTGAAGGATTCAGCCAGGCTCAGTCTCCGTGGGGTGCATGGCGTCGCTACCGGCGTGGACTTCAAGTGGCTGGAGCTACCACAAGCTGGAGTCGGGGCCGAGTTAAGGCTGACAGGAAAAGACAACAGGTCACTCATCAGAAAATGCCCACGAGCACCATGCAAAGGGTCCATGGCCATTCTCCTGCAGGGGTGCAGAGCAGGCCTGGGACAAGATGTGAGGACTCCCTCAGCCTAGGCTTCCCCATGCCTCTTTTTGTGTCCATCCTCTCGCTCACTTAAAGAGGCCTTTTGTGCCCTTAAAAGGGGCATGGGTTGGTTGAAGTCAACAGGAGACCCTTCTCTCAGCCCTAGTGGGGGGGCCTAAACTATCCCCTTTGCAGATGAGAGAACTGAGTCTCAGAGATTAGGAACTCACTCACTGTCACTCCTGGCTATGAAGTGGAAGACTCTGGATTTGAACCCCAAGGTAGTCAGAGATATGGGAGGAGACCCTTCTGCAAATCAACTTTCTTCCCCTACCAAATTTACTCAAAATCCAGTGTTCCTACCTAGTATCTACTTCCCTGAGGCAAGAAGTTAACCAGGGACTAAGAGGACTATGGGATGTGAGAGTGTATCCTACCAATGGCCAAACAAGGTGGGACAAGCCCAGGTGGAAGGTTCTTGGGTGCAGGGGAGACAGCAGCAGGCCCGTGACCCACACTACCAGAACTGTGCTCCTTCCATGGGTGTCCAAATCCTCTGTGATGAGTGGAGTTTGGGGTTACACAAAGCCATGTCACCCATTATCAGATCATATCGATGGAGCCACTACAGAAGGGGCCCCTGCAGCTCTTTGCCCACTCAAGGCATGCTGACTGAGGATCTATGTTCTGGAATCTGGGACCTAGCAATGAAGGAAGTTAGGACAGAGAAGTATAACAGGAGGTGGCGGGGGAAAGCACTGATGTCTCCTTAGACAGGAAAGGGTCCCTTTTAACAGCTGCTACAGGATGAGGTGAGGTCACACAGGCAGGAAGCCCCACACTGTTCCTGGATGAGCAACCTCAGGTCAAGGCAGGACATCCCTCTAAACAGTCTTGTGAGATCTGCTCCAGTGCCTGCCTAAGGGTACCTGGGGCTGCAGCTGCCCCTTGGAGCAGTGTGGTCCCCAGGAGCTGGGGGACAGAGCCCTCTCTCCCCAGTGTGGCAGGGGGAGGGCCAGTTAGCTTGGGCAAAAGGGATCAGATCTGTTCTAGAGCAGCCCCTTGGAATGACAGGAGAGAACCTTATTCCACCCCACCCGCCATGGGAAGGACAGTTCAAAAGCAAGTACAAGCTGGGGCATCATCTATCTCCCCACTCAGGGGGCCTCACAGCTGGCTGCCAGGACTAGGAACACAGAGCAGGCCCATCACACAAGCTCGGGCGTGGGGACGATGGTAGGTCAGGAACACTCACAAACATGGGATTAGAAATGGCAGCAGATCCCTAAGGTTAAAAGGTGGACTTTCAGAAGGTGGAGGTGGGATTCTACTGGACACTGATCTATGAGTTACAGGGGAAAAAAGTTTTGGATGTGACATCTGATTACAGGGCCAGTCCTAGAGAGATTTTCGATTTGGTTCCAAGGTGTCATTTTTTTCAAATCCAGGTAAAAAGCCACCTCTTGCTGCTAACTTTGCAGGCGTTCTCCATCTCTGACAAGGCATCATGGACTCACAAATGCAGACCTGCGCACTCCTGAGCCTGCAGCCAGTCAGAGGAGTGCCAGGGCACAGCTTCACCCATGGGGAAGCACTGGCCGTGGCTTCAAAATGATCTCTTCCAAACAAAAAGCCATGGGATGGGAAAGCCAGATTCTCCAGGAAGGGAGATGGAAAGACAAGCTCAAATCTAGAGATCCCTTCTGGTGAGAGCTTCAGTTAGGCCTGGATTAGTGTTCACGATTGGCTTGGCCAGGTGTTTAGATGGGTTAGGGGTTTCCACCACCAAGGCCACGTTAGGCAGGCACAACCACAGAGACACATCCACGCCTAAGTCCTGGTTAGTGCAGGCCATGTGCGCACACACAGCTCCTTCCACGTGGCCCTCCAGGCAGGCCCTGCCGGCGGTGTGCTCACCCCCTGCCTCGCCCGTGGGCTCACACTCTGCCCTACATCTCCTCTCAGCTCAACAGGGAATAGGGCTGCTTCGGCGTCCTTCTCACATGACCTGCGGAGAGTTATTCAGAGTTTAAGGTGCTCCTTGGGGCACTGCTCCCACTGCGTGGGCCCATCTTGTCTCCCTCCCTTTCTACTTTACCTTCTGTTAACTCTGGCATCTTGCCAGGGAGGAAATGACTGAGGGAGCCACTTGTCCATGCTAGGAAGACCTTCCCTTTCACTGGAAGCTGTGGAAGGCCTGGAGTCAAGTCAAGCAGGCACCCCCCCATGCCATACAAGTCCTCCTGCTACATGGTGTCAATCTTTATCAGTTGCTTCTTGAGGCACCAGAGGCAAACAGACCATGCTGGGCACATGGTACAGTCTTCAAATCCTGTTACTTTAGTTGTTAGCGTGTGGCCTTCATGCATGATTCCTGAGGTCTATTTCAGAGGCCTAAGGGTTTCCATGGGCTCAATAACCCCATCTGTGAAAGCACCCCAAGCTCTACTGCAGACCTTGGGGCAAAAAAAAAACAGGACTGGGCCTTGGGCCTAGGGCAGTATCTGCTTCAATTGGCTCAGGAGGAGCCTAAGAATCTATTCAGTGGCCAAAGAAAAGGCCATGTGAGGCGGGTCTGGACCTATCTCGCTCAATCGGCTTTGAATTAATGGCAGTCCTGATTCAAAAGGAAAGATGGGACCCAGAATTCGTGAGTGCAAACCCCCATGAGATGCTCACGTTGGCTAGAGTTAGAGTTACTTTTTGAAGTCATCTCTACTTCGGCCTTTCTTGATGTTAAGTCCTGTGGAGAGCACCTCAAACTCCCCCTACCCCTACCCCCCAGGGCCGAGGCCCCTTACCTTGGCGTGACCCTTGTGAGCTCGTCTGAAGGATGCAGGATGCGGCAGGTGGTGAAGGTGAAGGTGGAGTTGGTCTGTGACATGCACTTCCCAGGGTGGTGTGCTAAATTGGGGGGTTGGAGGAGACAAAACATATTCCTTGCATCCAAGTATACACACGAGAAAAGTAAAAATCCAGCATGGCCCTTAACAGATGCAAAAAGCGATAAGCAACCTCGTTGGCTGGATCTGGACAAGGAAGGCGAAATGCAAATGTTCTGCATTGAAGATGGTTCCTCAGAAAGGACCACACTCTGAGCACCGTTCTGCAGAGCATAGGACTTCAGCTTCCAACCCAATCCAGACAGGCTTCCGCATCAGCATTACTTGGCTAGTAGTGGCTCCAGCTTGGGGGGAGGCCTGTAATGGGCTCTTGGGGGTAAATTTGGTTGCCCTCGTCAGAGGTCATAATTGGCTTCCTTCTTTTGTTACTTTACATTTCATTGGCAAACAGGAGCCATGCCCTGTTCAGAGCGTGGAGAAATGCTCAGCATTGGAAACGGGTAAGGCTTCCACCTCCCTTTTTTATTTACACAAATGGGGCTTGGGGAGCTGGCTCCACTACTGTCCATCTGCGGTCAGCAGGGTAGGAAATGAGACCTCAGCTGCCTCAGCAACAACATGGCAAGAAACCCAGAGCCTGAGGCTTTCTGTGCCGCTAAGGCTCCAGGATCGGGTCTGGTCTGACAAACGGCAGCAGTAAAATAGGACCAGCCCTCCGGCTGCTTCCTCCCCTCTCTAGGAAATCTGATTTCTAATGAAAATGAGAGGGAAGCAATTTGTCCTCCACTCATTTCCATTTTAGAGTTCTAAAGCTGTGTTAAGGCAGCTGAAGACCATGATCTGGAGCAAAGTCAATCACGGAAGCATTAGTACCAAGCATCAGGAAGCTGGTGAGTAAGAAGAGTCGACAGGAGACATCATGATTGTAGAGTCATCCTCATTCATAACTCAAATGTTAAAAAAAGAAGAAAAAAGTGGAAAAGAAAAAAAAAGCTGCTCCAAACAGCAAGCGCAATGGAATACTGTGACCGTGCCCGCCCCCGCCCCTGCAGCAGCTCAGCCCCAGAGACCTCCTGGGAGAAAACAGACTGGGTTATCAGAGGCCATGAGCACTCTGAAGATCCAAAAGGCTGTCAACTGGAGTCTTGTAGCTCTTTATGGCAAGCTTTCTCTTAAATTTGACAAAAAGAAAAACAAAACAGAAGAGACCGGTGCCCCAAATCTACAGATTCACACGCAGGCTTTTTTTTTTTTTTTTTAAACAAAACAAAAACAATCAGATGAAATGAAAAAAATGCTGGAGACACATCAACAGGAGGCAGGGGGACAAAGCCAGAGCACAGACATGGGGTGGTGATGGGAGGGGCAGTGCAGCACTGCTTTGCTCCCTGATTGTGGCCCGACCCATCTCTGTGCGGGGCCTCCTGTGGCCCCTGGCAGCTGGCACTGGGCACTGCCCAGGGAGGCTCCAGGAAGAGCAAAGGGGAAAAACAACACATATGGAAAGAGCCTTTATGAATCTTTGTTTCTCAACCAATAATGGTAACAGCTTAGCAACTCAGATAACTGAGAAAGTGCTGCAAACAAACAAAAGAAATAAGCTATGAAGAAAAGGCAACCAAACAATCACGAATCTCTTGCTGCAATACAGTCTAGAAGCAAAGCAAGAAAAAGGCTGAGAAAAGCACCCCAATAATGGGCATGAGCGGTTATTTGGGTGGGAGAGAGAAAAGAAAAATGTAGCAAATACAAAAGTCAGGGCAGAACAGTTTAAAGAGAGAGGTTATTTTCAAAAAAACAAAGCAAGGCTGGATTTACAATGAGAAGCGCACCCCATTTGAACACATGGCCAGAACATCAAACAAATCACAAATGTCCACGTACTCCTCCACCCTATTATATATTAGGTCTTCGATTGCAACGGTATTATAAGATGCACATTTTAGAGACAGTTACATTAGCAGAAGCAAAACCCATTTTATAGAAATGGGTTTTGGGGATAGGAAAAGGCTGCTAAAAATTCAGAAGTCATCATTCCCCAGAAGAAATAGATAGCTTTAAGAAGACCAAAGAAAATCAACAAGTGTCAAGAGTGCCAAAGCCAGAGGTTGGTCCCCTCCAAAATACCACTGCGACGCCTGGACCCGCCAGCTCTCCTCGGTCACCACTGACTGCCAGGCCGCTGCAACACTTCCCTTCCTTGGGACACAACAGAGACAGTGAGCGCCTGCCTCAGGCTCCTGACACTCTCAGAGCAGAGCCAGAGGACTGTATAGTCTCTGCTGCAGGGAGGGGATTTCTCAAAGAAAGAGCACCAGGTAACACATTCCTCTCACAGGAAGTAGGTGCTGGGGCTGAGGGCTCACCCTGGAAGTTCCCAGCCCCACCACATCCCAGAAGCTCCATCTTGGGAACTGAGCGTCCCCTCAGGTTGCTCACTTTGAGGCCTCCAAGAGCAGGGTTTCTTGGATTTAATACTCCACCCCTCTACTTCATTCTAACTCTTTGTCTCAGTCTAACTGGAGGCCTCAGCGTGTTGTGAGAAGGGTGGTTGGGTATGGACACAAGTGCTTTTATCAAGTGTTTTATTTAGGATTGAATTTATAGGGGAACAAAACCCTAAACCTTTATTGTTTTTTTTTTTTATTTTATAGAGGCATGTTTATTTATTTGTTTGTTTGTTTGTTTTGTTTACACATGCACTGGGTACAGCCAGAAGCATGGGAGGGTGAGAGAATTCACCAGAGCCAGAGCGGGGAGCAGAGCAGGCAGAAGGACCAGAGTACACTGCTGAGGGGAGCAGCGGGCAGCAGGAGAGGTCTGCGCGCCATGTGGGACCCTCCTCTGGTGGCCGGGGAGCAGCCGGGGATCGAACTGGCGCCGCAGAGGCCGCGGGCAGGTTCGCAACCCAGCACTCAACCACTGCGCCACCGGGGAGGCCCTAAACCTTTATTGTTTTTAAATGCTCTTTTTCCCCCAGATTCTGATACTGGTCAAAATCCAAAAGATAGCTTTTAAGTTTCACTATCCTTGATTAATCAAGATCCTTTATATTGGTAAACTACAATCCTGGGCGCTGGCATGTGGACTCTATACTGAAACACACCACATGCAAGCACACGCGTGGGGGTGTCTGAGGGTTTTATATGGATAAGAGTTGCCCTGCTCACTGGCTCGCAGACCCTGCTGGTTTTCAGGCTGGGGAGGACAGACTTGGTAAATAGTTCTGAACAGCTGTGTTTCTCTGAGGTCCATGGGGCCTGGTATTGTCTGGAAACTGGGATATTTGAGATTCTGCTGCTGCAGCCAGTCATGGGGTTGCCCTGGCTCAGCCCCCCAGTCCCAAGTGGGAGCTTCCTCCATGGGCGACCCTGCCATCTGCACTGGGGACTATCTGTGTGCTTCATGGACCAGGGTGAGGGTTGCTCGGTCTACACAGCTCACGCATTTCATTCAACCTGAACTGTGTTCTCTTCTCCTATCCACAGGGAAAGGCAGACTGTCTACTCGCTGGGGAGAACAGATGCTTTACTCTCTAAAGGTCATCGTAGAACCCAGTACTGAAGAGAAACCTGAGCTCACACAGATGCCCAAGCACATGCCCCCAACAAGTTCTATGGTGAGTTGCAACATACAGACATAAAGGATGCTTCAGAGGGGACCTCTGATGTCGGAGAAATGCTGGCCATTCCACACCCCAAGCTTTTTATTTTTGCTCATATCAACATCTTCTTAAAATATATTTTTTTTCAGAATTATAAATGCATCTGAAAATCTTGGAGATGGGAACTCCATTTTCACAAAGCACTGAAAGGCTTCCATAGTCTTTTCCCACTCTTCATGAAAAGTGGTTACTTGTGTAAAATAAAATGCCCTGACCTTCCTTTTCTTCCCTTAACAGAACATGTGGACCTGGATCAGTTTGCAGTTTCCATAAATGCATTAACTCACCCTCTTCCCACTTCGCCCAAGAGCCATGCCCTTCCCTCCTTGCCTTGTTCCCCAGCTCCTGAGCAGAGCCTGGACAACAGGGAACTCACCAAAGAAACAAGTTCAGGCTTTTACCCTTGGGGGCTCAGGTGCAGGAGCTTTAGGGGATTTTCAGGGGCTGTTTTAGCCAAATGTGATGTTGCCTCCTGTAATTCCTTTAGGATCTCAGTTCCTGTGATGACACAGATGCACTGAAGGGCCACAGCCAGGCAGGATGCCATGACTTATACGGGCCTATTTTAGGGCATTTTCCCCACTTGAAATGGTTTCTATGTGTATGAATATTAAAATAGAATGGCCTCACTTTTGCCTACAGTGCTTTAAACCCATCAATTCCTCCCCTTTAAGGATCCAGGATAATTCAATTGTGTTATCCATCTAACCAATCATCTTCTGACCTAACTATGACTTTAGAACTCTGGTCGTCATCCTTTACACAAACAGACTCTTCCCTAGAGAGCTAAAATTCAGAACATAGACAGGACAAGGTAATGACTAGTTCTGACAGAATGAGCATTCTACATAAAGTAACACAAAATATGTCACTGGAATAAGGTAGAACTATAATCTAAAAATTTTTTTAAACAGTCCATTTTAATCACCTAGGTTATTTACAATATATTAACATGGAATCATCCTTTATAAGACATGGGATTATAAAAATCAATCAGCAAGTGATGATACAATAATACATCAAAACATAGTAATCATATTATTTCAGTATGCAAAACCCTTTCTCCATGCGACAGCAGTCTTTAGACCAAATACCCATTATGGCAGTGTTCCCAATTTCCTCCTAGCAGAATGCTAGTAAGAAAAATAGTTAATCACCTTCTCTCTTCAACGTTTTCTCCTACGAAGCCTGTCTCGGATTGTGCTGTTTGGCAACAAAAAAATTCAAGCACTGGGCGAGCGCAAGTCTGGAACAAGGCAGAGCCCAGGACAGCCTGGATACAAACCCCAAGACAGAGGATGTACCCAGCCGCCCTGTCTGTCTCAGCTGTCTTCCTGTAACTGATCTGTCCACCTGTGACTCTGCTTGGGACCTCCAGGATAATTTATTTAGAGATGCGTTTCTTACACCCCAAGAATCAAAAATGGTCCTGTCCTTCCCAATAGAGAAAAAAGCCTAGTAAGTGTTGGCAACTTTCTCTTCTGCATCAAGCTTTTAAAGATGAGTCTTACCCAAAAAATAAGTTCAAAAAGACACTCATCTAAGTGATCAGACCTTTCCTAATTCTTCTTGATCATATGCTTTCAACCTGACCCCTCTGCAGTTTCAGCTGAGAATGCATGGGTTTCTCCTCAAACATAGTTGCCACTGGGGTGAACCTGCTGCAGCTTGGAATAAGGAGGGAAGAAGCAATAAACAACTTTGCTCACTGCAAGGCAAGTGGGCTGGACATAGGTCACCATTCTCCCTTTGCTGTCTAAGGGAATTTTAGCTGGCTTGATGTGCTTTATTCCTTCTGCACAACTTCTCAAAGATTCATGTAATGGTTCTTCTCTAAATTTACAGGATTCTCCTTCTATTGCTCCTGCAGGGCTTTGGAGAGGGGCTGTCATACTCAATGTGATACCTCTCACCCCTTGCCCCAAATTCTGCAGACACAGTGTCAGGAGAGCAGGTAAGATATGTCTGCCCCCCAGATGGGCACTGGTGCTGGTAACAGAAGGGGGCAACAACTGGGGTCCCTTGCCTGTGTGTGAAGCTACAAATAATAAACATTTTCATTCAATGTAATTGCTTACAAAATACATTAAACCATAAATAAACCTAGGTGCTAGACAAATCCATTTTACTTGATAACACTTCTGAAGCTTAAGGAAAGTTGCTCCCAAATAAAGTCCCTTGGCCACAGGTGTCTGAGTCACAGACGACGTCACCCAGACACTTGGCTCAGCTGCTGCCTCATGTTTTATGGGGGCTGTTGCCGAAAGAAAGTGATCACAAAGATGAATGTCTTCCTCAAATCTGGCACCTTGGGAATGTCACGAGGATGACAACACTGGGTTGTCACCAAAAGGCTCCTCCTTTCCTGGGTCTCCCCCCTTAGCCCAGAAGAGCTTCCTTGTTCTCAGCACAAACAGCAAGAGAGCCAAGGAATTTGGGGCAAATCAGAACCAAACAACCTGAGACCCCAGTTTTTCATGCCATCGATACCTAGGAGGTGGCTACTTCTACAAACTCACAGTCACATCTTTAATGCTTCTAGGGGGGAGCGGGTAGGAGATCAAAGATCTTTCCAGATGCATCTAGCGGAAGAGACATTACTAACATTCTCTTAGGGTTTGTTTAAGGAGATTGCTAAAAACTAACTCTTTAAAAATCCATCTGAACACATATGTAAGCTGGAGATAAAATATGTACTTTCATCGAGTTAAAAGGGTGAAAAGGCTGATTTATCCAGTGTTGTCTGAATATTTTCTAGGCTTCTTTCTATTTCAATATAACAGATTCTCACACTCACCGTCTGACCAGTCCTAGCACTCATAATTTCTCCTAAAACTGCCCAACTCTGCTCAGCTCAGCTTGGAAATCACCAAGGCACTCAAAAAGAGTTTGCCCTTCAGACATGGGAAAGACCCACAAGAGGAAGCGGGAGCTGGTGTTGGGGGAGGACATGTGGGGTGATCCACTTCTTTTTAGCAGCCTTCTCTGCTCCCGCTTCAAGAGCCCACTGGGCCATGCACCTCCAAGGTGGGCAGGGAGTGGCACCCATTTGTTACAAAAAGGAGGCATCAGACTCTATTAAAAAACAGAACCGCACAATGGAATGCTTTGATTGTCACCCACACAGACGAGCAGAAGCTACAGACAGAGAGGCACTACGGATGGCGCTCGGAACAGAGGTGAGAATGGCCCAGAACTCTGCCTCTGGTAAAGGTGCCAGGTTTACAGGACTTATCGCGGTGCCCTCACCAGACCCCTCCTCCTCCTCATCCTCCTCCGTGGCCGCTGGCGGCTCCTGCATCTCCTCTGGGCAAGCCTGAGGCCGGCTCGGGTAACTTCTGCTGCCTGAGACAGTCACGCGTGCTCGGGACCTCTCACCTGAGGTCTCTGGGTGCTGAACTGGTGTGGAGGTAGCTAGGCCCGGGAGGGAAATGTGGTCACCTGTGTCATCTTCTTCAAAGTCGTTAAGGCAGTACACTTCATCCAGGTCAACGTCCAGTGTCCGGAAGCCCTTGGTGACCACACCGGGCCGAGGGTCCAGGATGCCCCCGAGGTGAGGCTGGGCCAGCTGCTGCCAGTGGTGAAGGGTGGCAGAACCTTGCAGGAGAAAGAGCAGAGAAGGGTGGTGAGGCAGGGCAGAGGGCTGGGATGGCAGTTGAAGCTGACACCGCCACCACCCTCAAAGTGTGGAACATGAGCCCCGTGACCCTGGGCTCCACAGTGGACTCTGGTAAGGGGACACCGGGGCAGCTGCCTTTGCTCTTCCCACTGTGAAACAGGAGTGAGTACCCTACCATGTCCAGAAGGAGCACCAATTTCAGTTTTTCAAAAAAAATTTCAGAGTAAAATTAATGTCATACTGTGTACCATGGATGTTTGGTGACAGACTATTTTAATCAGCTGAAGTCAACCCACAAATCCATTACAGAATCACTTTAAAAACTGAAGAGATAAAAACGAGGTAAGCACAAAGGGCAGGGTAGGGGACTGTGTGTACCAATTCTATGTCAAGTACACACTTCAGGGGAGATGCAGGCAGAATAAGACAATGTCAAATGAACCCAGTGCCCAAAACGAGAAAAGCAGAAAGAAGTTAAAGTAGCACATAGAGCATGGGCATGACCACTGCCTCCTTGGCTTGGGCTGTATTCTGCCAGCAACTGAGGCTGCAGGTTCGGCGTGAGGGAGTTGGCCGAAAGGGGCGTGACTGAAGAAGATGGCTAAGCACACAGATGTCTGAAGCAGAAGAGCCGATCTCCCTGGTGACACCAGACCCCAGCACTCAGATGACACCGTGCAAGGTCTGTAATAACACCGCAACATGTCCCTGAGGACCTCGTGGGTGCTTGGGGCTCTGCAAAGAGAAGTGTTCCAAGGCCATTGTGCTTTGGGGAGCTGGACTAACATGAGTGTGTGCTGGGGGACATCTCAGAGCCTTCAGGGCTGGGGTTCTAGCCCCCCAGATGCTACAGAGATGCCTCTGCTCCTCGGGGCAGATTGTACCAGGTGTGAGCCGCATGAGGTTAGGTCCTCTAGCCCCCTTATACATTGGAGGAGTTACTCAGGCAAATACTCTGCACTCAGGAGAGAGGCTTTGGGAGAGACTGTCAGCACGGGAGAGCAAGAACCTTCCCGCACAGTCAGCACTGCTGGCAGAGCAATGGGGCCCTCTGCTGGGTGGGCAAGAATCCCTCCAGGCTACCAGGAACATGAGAGCGAACCCAGGGGCGTAGGTGTCAGGACAAAACACAAGGGGAAGGACAGCAAGAGGTGGGGCCAGGGGGTGGTCCAGGGTAGTGGAGCAAACGCAGATCTCCTCAGGAGCTCCCGGCCCTCGGGCGCACCAAGTGCAGACACCACCCCCCAAAACCTCACCACAGAGTAACTTCTTAGGTGACAACCTCCACCCACCAGTCTTGAAGGGATTTTGGATTTGGAAAATGGTAAATCCACCTAAAAGGTAAAGACTTGTACATGCTGCCAATGCTTGTTTTCAAGAGCCCTTGGATACCCACTTTCAGTTGATCCCAGATTCAAGTGTGCACAAGAACAAATGCAGCCTTCTTAATCTGAATCTACTATCAACAGAAAATATTCTAAATGCAAAACAGAAAAATGAGCTGGCGAAGAGGTACACACACCTCTTCTCTCATAGGTGGTGAGAGCGATTTTATCCCCCAGGGGATATTTGGGGTTGTCTAGAGACATTTTTGGTTCCCACCACTGTAGAAGGAGAGGGGGTTGCTACTGACACTGGGGAGTACCAGGGGTGCTCCTGAACATCCTACAATGCCCAGGCCAACCCCCTATAGCAAAGGGATGAGAAACCCTCGCTGGAGCTGTGGTGCTTCTTTCTCAGATCCATGGAGAATTTGTAGAACACTGTGGACTCTCTTGCCAAAGGGAGAGCACACGGAAGTATGTGGCACGTAAGCAGGCTCTGCAGACAATGTGAAGTTGGTCACGGGACCCGGGTCCCAGGTGCCATAGCAGCATCTTTTCTTTAAAGCTCCCCTCTACTGAGACATGCCGAGATGGCAGCGTGTTTTACACATATTACATCTACTCACTCCTCAAAATCATGTGGTGAGAGGTTAGGTAACTTTTCAGTCACTGTAATAGTGATGGTACAGCCAGAGCTCACTGCTAAAGCCCAGATGCTTTCAGTAATTTCACAGTGCATGCCCCCAACATTCGCAGGTCTGAAAATATGACATCTGCGTTCCAGCTCCGGAACCCAGCTAAGTGCAAAGCAGTGGCCACTTAGCCCCATAAATAGTGGGTAGTAAACCTTGCATTGTGTCCCCAAGGTCACCAGAGATGCATACTCGGGCTGATGGGATGTCTCATGCCACCCCTGGAGAACCACTCTCATAATAGCGAATACCCCCCAGTTCATGTGTTCACTGGAAGTACTGGCACATTCCTAGCAAGAAAACTGCAGGGGGGGAGGGAGGATCTTAAAAACGGTATATGGCACCCAGCTTGGAAGGCACATACGGGTCTCAGAAAGATGATGAGAAATCTCTGGTATCTCATGGCCACGGCACCTCTACTTTCAGAAGGGGAACACTGCAAAGTAAAGAACTGTGCCAAGGAAGTATCAAATCTCCTCGTGCTTCTGAAGGAGGCTTAAGATGTTTATGAGGTACTGGGAAAGAACTCAGCGGAGTTGGGGGGGCTGGACTTCAATCCTCTACTGTTCAGCAGACCGCCCCTTTTCTCCCCACCCCACCCCCCACCCATCATGCACAGGCACCAGTGAGAAATGAGACTACAAAGTTGTACCGTCTAGATTTTAAAAGCCTCAATAACCTGCATGGGGTTATTATTTGCATTCCCTGAAAATGCATAGCTAGGGAAATTTAGTGAGATTAGAACAAAAAGGTTATGCTGAAAGGCGCATCATACCGCAAGCCTTGGGCACCCCATACTCACGTAAGAAGCCAACTTTTATTGAGCATTTCTAAGATGTCTACATGTACTAACTTCCTTCATCTTCATGATAACCCTGCCGTCCCAATTTTACAGATGAGGAAACTGGGAACAGGGTGGCATGGGAGGTTGCACAGTTGGCAAGTGGCTAAATCCAGCCTGGCTCCAGTGTCCCTCCTCCTAACCATAGAGAATGCCTCTCCACCAGCAGTGAGGAGGCCTCATAGAATTGAGTTTCAGAACACTGGTCTTGCTAATGTGGCTTCCCTAACCCTCATACAAGTGTTTTCTATTTTGCAAAGGTGAATACTGGTGAAAGCCACCTCACTTTGACCTTGACGTCATATGAGCTATGTTGTTCTGTGGGGCTCATGGACCATCTCCACTGCAAGGGGGTTTGCTGAGCCCAGCAGCTGGGTGGAACACCTCACACCCCACCTCCTTTCCATGGCCAGCACCTGGACCACCATGTAGGAATTCTTCTGATCTACGACTGCCTGAGTCCTTCCTTTGACACAAGAAGGCACACATTTAAAAGCAAATATGATCACATCTTGTTCGGAGCCTGTGTTGCCTCTTGCCTACTCTTTCTCAGCACATTCCTGTCTGGCTTCTTTTATTTGTTAAGCGCAGAGCAGAAGAATCACTATACTATTAGTTACCTCCCATTACCTCCTCCTTTCCCCATGAGAATGAGGTTGGGGTCAGGCAATTGGGCAGGTAAAGAACAACCATCGTGTTCTTAACTGGCACCAAAGTAAAGTTTTCTGGAACAAGGGTGTGGACAGTGGGGAAAATGTAATTACAGTCCCTGCTCCTCTCCCTCTGTTTGCTTTCCTTCTACACCCCACTGTTCTAACTAAAAAGTTTTCATGTCATCAAAGGAAAGCCAATTCATTTATATGAGAGAACACCCAAGGCTTAAAAGTCAGAACTAAACCTGGTAGATAACGTACAGCTTAGAAATGTATGCTTTTGCTTAATTATACATTAACTTGTTTATATGGAAAACTTGGTTATAATTAATCAGAAAGCAGGAGCAAAATACAGGGTAAAAGTTATTGCCAGGCTCAGCTTTTCAAAAGAGATATATCTCTTTCCTCTTAGATACTGTTTGTTCTTCAGCTGCTTAAAACAAGTAAGGTAAGATCAAGAGACAAGGGTGCTAGCATACTTAAACACCTAGCCCTCTATTCTGGCTCACACTAATAAGCAGATAGCAAGATTAATTAAATAGGTAAGGGAGACAAAGATGAAGACACAGATTGGCTATCTGTTCTGATCCCAGCCAACACTCTCCAGAGGACTCACTCCTGGTCCATTTACCTGGGCCACTGGAGAGCACAGGAATCTTATCAGCTTCGTAGTGGGCCAATGGAAAAGGGTGATCTAAGAACATGGCCCCAGCACTAGGCCTCTCCAGGTCTCAAAATTGGTAAGGCCAATATTTAGACCTGAGCTGCTGGAATAGGGGTAAGTTCAGGGAGTGTAAGTTTCATTAAGTACCTATTAGGTGCCAGCCATAGTACACAAAACACACCACATTTACTCCTCACCACAACCTTGTGTGGCAGACATGAGCTCTAGTTCACAAACAAGGGAGATGCGGCTCAAAATGTGAGGTAAGTAACTTAAGCAAATCCACAGTAGAGCTGCAGTAACCACTCATCACTAGGCTTCCCTTTTGGCACATCACCTTACTAACTTACATAACAGAAAATAATGTGGAGGGGAGGAAGAAAATATGGTTGTATTTTAAATAGCTAAGAAGTCAGTGGATTACAAAATGGAGCTAGAGGGATCTCTACCATGAGGACGTGTTACTAGCCATAGTGATTAGATGTGACTTAGTGGAAGTGATTACCTCTCTGGTGGTGAGGGTCCTACAGATTAAGTTTACCTTGCACATCTAATGGGTTTTCCGCTTACTCTATAAACTTATCATAAAAATACTGTCATCTAAGTGACAAGGTTAAAAAAGTTGAATTGGTCAGAATAAACTTTATAAAAATCTCTTCCTGTGATAAGCTTAGAAAATAAATCAAAAACATTCTTAGATGATCTAATGGAACACAAAATCAAATATAGAAAACAGACAAGATAGAGATGATAAATTTCGATGATCTTAGACAAAGAAGAAAAAAAAAGAAAAAAAAAGGCAGAAAGTAAAATTGCAGAAATGGAAGATTTTATTGAAAGAAAAATAGACATAATTGTGGATCAGAAAACAATCACCAAGCTTACAACTGAATAAACAATTTAAAAAAAGAATGAGTCATCCCTTTCCTGAAATCATAGGAGGACCTAAATTATACAATTAAAAAATAATCATGAAAAGAAAACATTAGCCCCCACCCCCTTCCTTCCTTTGGAGAATTTGGGACTTGCTATGTCTTAGATCTTTAATACATTCTCAGCAAGGATGATAATTATCCCCAAAGAGTTGAAAATGCATTCTTGAGGGATGAGAATTGTACTCTTTTTAGGTACAGAGTACGGAGATACAGTAAGTCCTCACTTTACATTGTGAATAGATTCTTGGTAACTGCAACTTAAATTGAAACAGCATATAGTGAAACCAATTTTATCATAGGCTAATTGACATAAACAAGTGTTAAGTTCCTATGTCATATTTCTGGTCATAAAAAATACCACCATACTTCTAAATAAGACCTGAAGCAACTTCTAACATGAAACAATAATTTGTATTCTTTCAACTCATTCATTCCCCAACCCAATTATTCCAGTTCACAGTCACCAGGGGCCAGAGCCTACCCTGGCAGCTCAGGGCTCAAGGTGGGAACCAGGCAGGATACCCTTCCATCATTGGGCACATTTCCTACACACCCCTATATTCACTCTGACTAGGGTGATTAGTCTAACATGCACATCTTTGGGATGTAGGGGGTAACCCAAGGAGCCAGAGAAAACCCACAGAGACATGGAGAAAACATGCAAACTCCACATACAGTGGCCCTGAGTGGGAATCCATTTTTCCCCCTCATCAATGATTTAACAAAATGACATCAAAGAAAACAATGTTATCTGAGGACCTGCTGTATACACAGCACATAGACAGTGTATCTATGGTATTAAGTGTTCAGGGGGGAGGGGAAGAAGTAAGATCAAATGCTCCTAAAAGCTGGCCACCCCCAAAATGTTGAGAAGTACAGCCTTACAGAAATTCTGCTTTGCCTTTGCATCAGAAGCATAATACAGAATTTTAAAATACGTTCTCAAGCTCACATGGGTTTCTAAACTAAAGGAATAAAAAAACGAAAGATACAAAACTTGGTGGCTTTTGGCAGGGTAGCGGTAGGCAAGGGGGAGAAGTTTTATAAGCCTAAAGTAAACGAAAAGAACGAAAAAGAGGTGCGTTTTTCCAAGAGCAGAATCATATGGGGGTGTCTGTGGTACCAAAAAGGCAACTGCCTTTGGAAAAGACAGGCTTAAGGAGGAATAAAACTGATCTCCACAGTCACCCCTTTTCTGCATCAGCAGTCACCCCCTCTTTCTTTTATGATCAAACAAAACACATGACCCCACAAATGGCAAACTGCTTTTTCATGGGCATTGGGGGAAAAAAAAAAACAAAAACTTTGTCCTGCCCTCCACCACAACACGTCTGAGGAATCAAGGCCCCCCCCTGGCATGATCTAAATAATTTCTGAGTAGTTAGCAGTGCCTCTGCCCCTTGGAAAGATGTGCACTCCTAAGGTTCTAAAGGCAAAGGGAAGAACCACGTTCTCTTTGGCTTGGCTGGACGAGGCGAGGCCGGCTGCCCGCGTGTGTGTTGGCCACGCTGCCCGGGCCAGCAGGCCGGGGGCGAGCGCCCTAGAGGAACTCAAACCAGCAGCGCGGGTGGCTATCTCTGAAGAAAAAGGAGTAGGTGTTACACAGGTTTCCCGCCTTGCGGTGGTGGATCAGGGCCCACAGGGAGTCGCTGAGGAGGACAGAGAGAGGCCGAGGCCCCTTGTGATCACCTTCCAGCGGCTTCACGATCTGGAGCTTCTCGGGCAGGTAGGAGCGGCTGCTGAAGGACATGCCGGAGAAGCCGGTGAACTCCGAGAAGCGCGAGTGGGTGCCCAGGGACATGATGCTCTCCGTGGGCGTCAGGGAGCCGCTGAGCAGCTCGCCCTTCTCCGCCAGCTCCCTGAGCTTCCTCTCCTGCTCCTCCTCGAAGAACCTCCTCTCGGAGAGGTAATTCTCGCGGCGGAGGGACAGTCGCCTCAGCGCTGTCTCCAGGTCGTGGGAGCCCGGGGTGCCCGGCGTCCCTGGCTTCTTGCGGTCGTCGTTTCTAGAAGGCGGGAAACAGGGTGAGTGAGGAACACCCAGCCGGGGGTGCTGTGCTGCGTGCAAGGAAGGCCTCGCCGCCAGGCGTGCTCTGGGGACATTTGCCAGAGGCGGCAGGATTTTCTGAGGCAAGAAGTTGAAATCCGTGTTCATTTTTAAACAATATTTGCTTCTCCCCACTCCCTCAGGTTTAGTCCCATAGAGTTTCCTTCACCAATGTTTAAAAATGAGCAATGATGTAAAAAATTTAAAAAAAAAGGGGGCCTCCCTGGTGGCGCAAGGGGTAAGACGCAACCTATGAAGCAATCCACAGCCACTGCAGTATGAGTTCGATTCCTGGCTGGCCAGGGAGCTACCCACATGGCGCGGCAGACCCCTCCTAAGTTGTCTGCTGCTCCCCTCAGCAGTGTGCTTCGGTCAATCTGGCTGTTCTGTTCCCCACTCTGTCTCTAATGAATCCTCTCACACGACCCCCCCACCTCTAGCCTGTACCCCATCTCTTATATGCATAAATAAATAAATCTTTAAAAAAAAAGAATATAAAAAAGGATATCTAAGTTACAATACATTGAAGGTACATGAATCTTAGAGATTTTGTTATACAGAAGATACTGCCACCAAGGAAGGGCTGCCATAGATAAGAACTTCGCTTAAGAGCAAGTATACGAAACCTAACTTCAAAGCCCCAGGCAACGGGGGACTGAATGTCATTGACTGTAACACACATTAATAAACTAATACCACTTTACTATTTTCTGGTAGTTTAGAAATGACTGCATAATTATTTCTAGAAAGTTCCCATGTGTGATGTTCAGCACAGTGCCTCATATGTAATAAAAACTGCAGAAACAACAACAACAAAAAAGTTGAAATCACTTGGAACTAAATGCAAAATGTTCTTATTTTAAGCCTCTCACCTTCAAATTCCTCTTCTCTTTTTTTAATCTTAGAGATTATTAATATAAAATGCAAGTATAGGTAAAATAGGTGGGAGTTATTATCATGGAGTCCAGAATGGTAGCTACCATTGAATATTATGACTTCAAAAGCACTGTGGTTTTGTTTTCAGTTATTTTTTGAAGTCGCACTACAATTCAGTCTTATCAATATTAAACACTAATATATTTTTTATTCTACTAACTCCACTTTCCAATATGATGTTGCATGGAGTTTATATTTATACTAATAAATAGTTCATGCCCTAAAAAAAAAAAAGAAGTTGAAATCGAGAGAAACTGCCTGCCCAGAGGGAAGAATCACCTCCGAAGGTTTCACTTGTGTGGGGGTGTGGGGATGGCGTGGAACACTAAGGTTTAATGAAAATGTGCACATACTAGGAAACCTTAGTCCTATAAACACCTTTATGAACTCCTGAGGAAGAACTCCTCAAACCTCACAAAGTTCCTGGTAACCAGAAGGGTAGCTGGTTCAAGGGGTGCCTTTCTTTCCTCTTGAATTAAAAGAGCTGCGAGTTCACAAACAGTTCTGGTGAAGCAGTTTCCCAGCTGACCCAACTGCTCCTGAGAATCAATTTAAGTCAGAGAAAAAGGGTGCACACACTGGCCAATGTTGTCATGGGGGGGACACGGGGTAGATGATGCAGGGGTTCAGAAAGGCCCACCCCAGGGACACCCTATGTGCCCGGCACTGGCAGGGTACCCTGTACCCCATCAGATTGTGGTCACGAGAATGAGTATTCAACCTCCTCAGCCTTCCAGATATCCAGGTTACAGATGAGGTCATGAAACAATGCCTGTCCTGCAGCCCAACAGTTAGGATTTAACTGAGCAAGATACCCTGGCTGCATCTTGTCCTATCTCTTTACATGGGTTAACATATCAACTATCAAGGATAAATGCAAGCCTGTGGGGTTGGTAGAACAGATGTGAGAACTGAGAGGTGTTTATTTTCCAGGTGATGCACATCAGCCTCCCTCTTCTAATTACTGGAATCTGCATTCAGTCTACACTACCTCTCCCCCCAAGATAGAAGAATTAAAAATCCCTGCGGGCTCACCCCTGGTCAGTTGACTCTGCTTCCAGGATAATGCTGTTGGTCTTATTGTCCAGGATGACATTGCCAACGTCACTGCCGTAGAAGCTGGACCGGGGGGTGCTGACGCAGCTGGACAGGAGGGAGTTCATGGCTGAGGACTGGTTGGAGCCAGGGATGTTCATGGGGGAGGGTGTCAGAGACCTCTGCTTGACGACCTGGTTGATGTTTCTCACCGTTTCAAAGACTCGCTTCTGGTGACTAGAGAGAACACGTGTCATCCATAAATAAGCAAATGCAGGAATGACCTTGAGTTTAACCCTCTTACTCCCTCAAAGGAAACTATCAACTAAGGAGCCAAAAAACAGCTGACCCACAGTGAGCCCTCAACACCCTGCCCTCCTGTACCTTTCACGTGGATCTTAAGGTATAGGGTAGAAGTAGACAGACTTAGCACCCACTGAATTCAGGACTGTGGTTGTGTCCTGAAGGTGAAGTTAGCAGGAGTGATATATTTCCCTGCATGCGGACCTTAAGCTGTGGAAGGACTGCTGTGGTCACAGGTGGTGCCAAAGCCCAACCATCACCTGTCTGGATCACCGCGGGTCACAGGGCTCTGGGAAGCTAAAACCTAAGGCCTTACGCAATGTCTGGAGACTCGGGTTCTTCCAACTGCAGCTCCTTGCGCATCGTTCCCTCGATCTCCGCTGCCAAGGAGTCCTGGGAAAGGCCAGAAGACACAAATGAGTCACAGTTCAGGCGGGGTCTCTAAACAGGCTCATGGCCAGGCCAGTTACAGGGGCAGGATGTCCCTGTATAAACTGCAGCCCCTACGTAAGGCCCTTTGCGCCCATTTAGCTCAAGAGTCTGAAAACAGACCCTACGTCTCCTTAGCCATAGCACAGAGCTGTCACTGTGGCTACCAGACAAGGTCTTATGGAGGGCACTCTGCTCCTGTGCATTCCCCACCCTGTCCCCCCACCCCAATCATGCCTCCCCTGCAAGAGAAACTCCTCTCCCCACCAGCAATCCATGCATGGCTCATTCACCTTTACTAATCAGCTCACACTTCATCACCAGTAAGCCTCCACTCCTCCCCAAGGGGACATCCAGTACGTTAAGTTCTTGTGACGTCTCTGAACAGTTAGCACCCTGATTTATGTCTTTCTCTAGCAAGACTACATTTTGTGGGTCAGGGAAGCCAGTCACTATAGCCTTCTCATCACCCTGACGGGCCAGGCCCAGAACTAAAACTCAACAACTGCTGCCTGCACTGCCAGCCACTCCTCATGGCTGAGAGAGCCTGGCAAGTGACCCCTCGCACTAGCACAGGGAGATGCCAGCAGACCAGGTGCATGCAGGAAAGTGCACACTGAGGCCTCAGAGGGTGACACCCATGCAGGACAACTGGAAGTGAAGGCCTAGATCCATGAAAAGCCCAGTGATGGCGGGAATGTTCTGTTTCTGCCTGTCTAGTGCGGGGGCCACTGGTCACAGGTGGCTACTGAGAACTGAAAATGTGGCTGGTGAGACCCAGGAACTGAATTCTTATTGTACCAATCACAACTGATTTAAATGTGCATAACCACTGGAGGCCTAGCAGATAGTGCAGGGGGACTGTCCAGAGCATCCATTGCCACAGGCCACCAGGGGTTATGCCACTCTGGAAGCTGGAACCAAGTGGGGAGACTTGACAGCAGTCAGTGGGAAGCATGATCAATAAAGGGTTAATGACCTTGCTTTTAATTTCTGGTTATGAATATGCAATTTTATTTAGCAATTATAGCCCACAGATTGCCCTTAAATACAATCCCATGGTAAGGGCTTCCCTAGGTCTGCTTGACATTTTGGTAAGGTGTTTTATTTTTCATAATACTGCTATTCAGCATATAAGCTACACTGAGAGTTTTGCATGAGGAAGGGGCCTGATACAACTTAAGAGAAACAAGAAATTAAACTCCTAATTACAAAGTCATGCGGAGACAGAACCAAAGCAGCACCTGACACTTGCTTTGGCCATGACCTCCTCTGGTAGTCTGGGGAAGCCCAAGGACCCATTTTGCAGAATAGTATTTTAAAATGAATAAAATAATCAGGACTAAAAAGGAAGACAGATGTGTTGAACCAGGTACTGGAGTATTAATGACATTTATGATAAAGTAACACGCTGGATCAGGCCCCGGGACTGGTGATCACTGTCACCTTGAAGGGAAGATTAGCATAAAAGGTATTTTGAGCAACGCACAGTTGAAATGCTCTATGGAGCTGGCTGTGACTTTGAATAGTGATGTCACAGGGGTGCTGACATCACTGTGGTGTATTGCCAGCCTTCACTAAATTCATGGTCCCTCTGAATCCCCTGTGATCCCAGATTAAGGACTCCTACCACAAGGCAAGGGCACTGAGGGCGATTCTGGGCCAAGTTGCTACACACTGTTTTATTCAGCAATCAGAAAGACCAGGAGCAAAAGGGGAAGCAGATCTGGGTGCTCTGCTCCCCAAACACGGGCACAGTACAAGCTTCAGGTTGCTTGAAATGCCTTTCATGCAGAATGCACTTTAAAAATAGCCATCTTCGGATGGAGCTGGAAGGGATCATGCTCAGCGAAATAAGTCAGAAAGAAAAAGAAAAATACCGGATGGTCTCACTCATAGCAGGAATCTAGAAAACTTAAATAAGGGACCAGGAAAAAGAATAACTATAAGAAAGAAAATATCAAAATCAACAAACAACTATGAACCAGAGATACTCTATGGGGGGTAGAGGGGCAGGGAAAGGAGGGCTTGGGGTCAAAATAAGGGGGTTGTAATTGTATGGGGAATATAAAAATAAAATTTAAATTAAAAAAAATTGGTTCCAAGGTACCAAAAGAAAACCATAAAATTAACGTGAATAAATATTTAATTGGCAAAAAAAAAAAATTAAAAAAATAGCCATCTTCCAAGACTGAGCTGTGCCAACAGCTACAGAAAAGGCAAACAAAAAGGCTTCACCTGAGCAAATATGAAAGTAGAGGCTTTCTAGAAGAAATCCCAATGCAGATATTTAGTTCTTCTTGTGTAATGGTTGAGTTTTAGGGTATAGGCTGCCTGTGAGAACAGGAGTCTCAGTGCCCAGGCAACAAGACGGCTGGGAGACCTCTGTTCCGTGATGACCCTGGGCTAAGGGAAACCAAGGCTGGGGGTGCAAACCACAGGGTCAGCCTGGAGCTGAGTTATCAGCTCCAGAGCAGGGCGTAGGGGTGGGAGTGTTTGCTCAGGGACAGAATGTTCTTTGCTCCCTTACTGGGAGTCCTGGAATCACCGGTTCACCAATCTGCCCCCCAGAGAGCTGCTTATGGACCGTGTGTTTGGGTTTGGTTCCCTTTAGATTCCAGTCAGAGATGGTGGAGAGACAGAATAGAGACAGAGCTAGCCTGATGTTGATGTATGAAAGCAAATAACAAAGAGATCATGAGGAAAAGTAAGTTTGAAAACGGAGGCAGGGGTGGGTGACTGTAGGAAAAGCGCCAGGGAAAAGGCCAGATTTGGAAGGGACAGAGTTGCACAAACGTTTATACAGTCATCATTTGGGGGAGTTTCTCTCAAAAAGTTCTTCCTCAGAGACAATTTGGTTTTTCAAGGAAATAGAGCCTGAGTATAAAAGTTCTGGGTAGCTTGTTCTTCAGCCAGTCTGTCGGGGCATCTAAGTCTATTAAGCGTATGCCAATTCCATGACATACCAGACGCTGTGCTGGGGACAGGGTAGTAAAGCGTGGGGAGAGAGGAAAGAGCAAAGAAGACACGGTCCCAGCCCCCGGGGGCTTGAGTCTGAGTAAGTTCACCACATGTCACAGGGAAATGACAGGCAAAGGGGACAGTCCTGAGTAGCCCGAGTCCCGCAGAGAGAGAGAGGCCCCTCCTCAGCCATGCTCCCCTAAAGCCCAAACATGAAACAAAGCAGGCCAGGGATAACCAAAGAAGATGGTGCGGAAATAACATGAAAATATAAAAATGCCACACCCAGTGGTAGAGACAACTATTTTTTTTTCAGAATGTGGATACTGAAATATCCAGAGAAACTGTAATAAGCCAACAAAGAACCAGCAGAACCACTGGCTTGTACCTGTGAGGTGCAACCACTATGTTTAAATAGCATCTCCCAAATATCGGAGGTTCCTCCTAAATCTAGCCCCTACTAAATGTATCTTTTAAGGACAAGAGTGATAAAGATGACAGATTCAAAGCCATGGAAAACAGAGGCAAGTAGCATCAAGTGCCCTGAGCACACAAGTCCTCAGCTCCAGATCCAAGGTGCAAAATGGCCTACAGAACTCATCTCCAGACCCGCCTTCCTACTGCGAGCGCCCCTGGTGGGACGGGGAATATGGAAGAGGGCAGGCAGCTCACCATGGGGAACAGGCCTAGCGAGTGGTAGCGCCGCGAGGTGGCATTGGGCATGGTCTTGTTCCGGAGATTTTTGAGCTCCTCCTGCGCCTCGTGAAGCATCTCCATGCACTCTGCGTACTTGTCCTCCAGCTCCCGAAGCTGCAGGAGACCAGGCCAGTGCAGGGCGTCAGGATCCCCGGAGCACCAGGTGTCAGGAGCCCCCCCCGGCCCCCCCGGGCAGAAAGTCACAGACAGCTAACAAAAGCCCTGGCCTGGGGTGGGACTGGGGCCAAACACCAAGGAGTCCCCAAGATTCAGTTGGTATTTCACTTGGGAAAAGCTGGCAGATTAGCCATCTCCAAAAATACTAACAAATGGGTAAGTGAGATTTAAAAAAAACAACCAGAAAGTAATGGGAGATGGGACAGTCAACTCTGTCATCCTTTCAAGTCACATCTTTGAACAAAGCTTCATTTATGTGGTGTGCGGGGTCACTTCACAACTATTGGCGTGTTCATTGGGAACCTGGACACCCCGGGATCCGGGCTGGGGTACAGCCCAGCCTCCCAGGCGCCACAACTGGTAATGATAATAGAGGGAGCTGGGAACTGCATGAGGATTGAGGATGACATTTAATTCAAAGTGAAAACAGATGTTAAGGTGGACATGACCTGTGAGAGGGAGGCTGGTGTGCCCTCATGGGGACTGGGGCCTGATGAAATGAGGGAAGACTCCTACCTCGGCCGTGAGCTGCCGCTGGGCATCCTTGGCAGCCCCCAGGTGCTGGACGAGTTCTTCATTTTCCACGGCACACTGAAAACATTGCAGAGGCGAATCAGTACCTCTTTTTTTTTTTTTTTTAAAGATTTATTTATTTATTTATACAAGCACTGGGTACAGTCAGAAGCGTGGGAGGGTGAGAGAATTCACCAGAGTCAGAGCAGGGAACAGAACAGGCAGGCTGATGGAGAAATACACTGCTGAGGGGAGCAGCGGGTGCGGAAGGAGAGGTCTGTGCGCCATGTGGGACCCTTGCCTGCAGCTGGGGATCGAACCGGTGTTGCAGAGGCTGCGGGCAGCTTCGCAACCCAGCGCTCAACCGCTGCGCCACCGGGGAGGCCCGAATCAGTACCTCTTTAAAGAGACTTAGAAGAATCCAACTTTTATCCTCTTATTACAAGATTCATTGTGATCTTATCACATCTACAATGATAATTTTGTCTTTTATATTTTTATTTCACTTTGAAGGCAAAGTCTTCCCACCAGAACATGCCGGGTGCCCTGCATAAGAGCAAATACTTGGCTAGGTTTTTTATCAGTTAATTTGGTCTCTACAGCATTTTTCTTAGTGAATTATATTCACTTACAGATTATTCTCAAATTATAAGTGGTGAAAATATGATCTCCTTATAGAGGACAACCAGTTTTATACTATTGAATTCACCAAGGTTTTTCTCCACAGGGGCAGCACAAACACCTAAATACAGAGCTAAAGGGGCCTGTCACTGGGGTAAGTGCCCCTTTCGGGTATCCACCAGAGAAATGGGAACCTTACAGCTTTTGCCTTCTTCTGCAAATCAACTATTTGTGACAGCAGGTGTGTGATCTCCTCTTGCTGGCGGGCGGCATCTTCAGTTTTCTTGGCCAATTCTTCCGAGATGCTGGCAATCTGCACGTTGGCATCCCCTTTGACCAAGAAATACCACAAGAGTTAGTCAGAAAACCCCATCTGCAGAATCAGAGGGAATGGTTTCTCTGTCATTTGTACAAGAAAGAACCTCCTCATGACACTATGGGGTGGAGGGGGGGGTCCTTGAGGGGCAGAGTGGAGAGGGTAACTATGGAAGGGACCTTACGAGAATACCCTTGTTCCTCTGGCTCAATCTGTCATGAGAAAGAACCCAACCTCCCCGCGATAGCCCCCAGGCCCAGTGTCTGACCCCACTGACCCAGGTGGTGTCCTGAGAAGAGATCAGGCAGGCTTCAGGAGTCAGTGGAGATGGCTCCCCAACAAAGGTGTCCCTAGCCAAATCACCATGTTCCACACATAAGCAGCTCGTATTATTAACAGGAAGCCCTGCTGCACCCTGTTCTAGAAAGGAACTACTGCCGCGCCCAGTGCTCTTAGGTGTCTTCAACCCATATGCAGACCCACAGCTCATTCTATTAGATTTCAACACAGGGTGTGATTTATTTATTTAGTATCTTGCTGAACTCAAAATAACCTGTCCTTTGGTCTTAAATCGCAAACATATAACAGAGAGGGTGGGGGAAGTACTTGCAGGGTTTGAACAGCCTGGGTGTGAACTGGGTAGGTCCACTTAACATTGTTTTTCTTATAAACAGACTGATAGCGATACATCCAGTACAGCACTATAAATGTATTTTCTTAACATTTTCTTTTCTCTAGCTTACTTTACTGTAAGAATACAGTATATAACACAAAATATGTGTTAACTGTTTCTGTTATCAGTAAGGCTAAGTTTTGGGGAAGTCAAAAGTTATACAAGGGTCTGTGCCCTGAAGGAGGGGCGGTGCCCCAATCTGTGTTGTTCAAGGTTCAACTGTATTTGCAAAGCTGAGACTGTAGCTGGGCCTAACATGGCCATTCAATAATTCCAACATTCCATTAGAAAGCGAAAATTAAAATGAAATATCCATCTCATGAGAAATTAAGACAACGTGATTCTGACAGCCTAAGCACAAAATTTGTCATAAATCAGGGTGAGGGTGGCCACACAAGAACAGGAAGGTTCTGGTTTTAAGAGAAATGTGGCTGATCCCCAGGCTGGCAGAAAGACTACTCTTCATCAACAGCGGTGCAAATCTGCCTAGTGACAAAGACAGCAGATGGACAGAGTAAAAGGAGGCAGTAGTGGGCAGGAGAGCCATGGACATACTCAGCTCCTTTACACAGTCGTTCACCAGCTGCTGCTCTTTCTCTTCGTAGGTGATGGTCTCTGTCTTCAGCTGGCAAGCCTGTGGATGAGACTCAGGTCAGGGGCCCGGCATGGATTGGTGGGGCAGGCAAGGCTGGGCCATAGAGCAAGGTCTAGGAGGTCGTCCTTTGTCATCTCCCCACCAGTTACCTGCGGTACCCTTAAATACAGAAAACCAACCGGAATTCCTTCCCTGCTTAAATGAATGAATCTGGGCTTTTCAAAGCTGGGAAAGATGCACCACTAGAGGGCGCCACAGAAAGCAACGTGCTCTCTGCTCTGGGAAACCACAGACCTGCATGGGTCTGTCTATTCATTTGTGTGGGTCCCAGCTCCTAGACATGGAGCTCTAGGACCCTGGGGACATGCAATCTTAACAGCACCTCGGGTGCAGCTCTGCCTGCCGCAGGCGTTCTGGAGATGACAACGATGGGCAATGCTTCCCATGAACCTACTTTGTGCCAGGCTTTGTCCTATAAGGCTCTGGGTGGCGTTAAACCCACTGTATTCAGCTGAGTAAAAAGTAGGTACAGTATGAAAGCATTAATATTCAAAGACCCAAGAGCTATCACATGACTCTGGATAATTTGTCCCAGCTGAAAAGGCAGGAAGATAGAGATCTGAGGCCTGAAGAAAACGACCCAGTTAGACCCTGGTCCCACAGTAATACTGCACTCCGAAGGCCAGCTGCGGTGGCCGGAATCTGTGGCTGGGGCAGGCTCCCTCCACCTGCTGTAGGTGAAGACTGACAGAGGGGCTCATTGCCCTGTGCAGAGCTAGAATACCTGCCTGCAGCAGACGCTGGGAGGGGAAGCCCCAAAGTGGAATGGGGAGCCATGGGCTGTAGTCCTGCCCCCCATTAGAACATAACACTTTCCTCGTGCATGCATAAGAGCATCCTGTTAGGCCTAGATGTGAGGGTCTTTCCAATATGTGGGCAGCCCAAATTTAAACGCTGGCTAGAGAGCATAAGCTCACTGATTATAAGTCAACAAGCACTCAATTGGCACGAGCCTGCGTTTCCAGAGAGGGACAGTGAGGGAAGTAACATGGGGCCTGGAGTCTCAGTGACTTGCCAATCTTGGCTTCCTTCACTATCTGGCACAACCTAAGGAAATGAAAATACCAAGCAGCTGGGTCCTAGTTTCCTCATTGTAAATGAGAATCAGAGTCACCAGCTTTCAGCCTTGCAAAGATTTTCAAAAAAGGATGCAGGCAAAGTGCCTACCAGTGACCAGCCCATGAGAGACACTCCAAAGCATGAGTCTGCAAGCTGTGCCAGCTTAGCCTTCTTGACTGTCTAAGGAGTGTTGTCTTCAAGATCCCATGTACTATTCCCTTAGAACTTGACGCAGCAACAAGAAAATGAGGCTTCCACACAAGAGCCTGCAAGTCATGTCTGCGGCGCTGAGAACTCATGGATAGACCTGACTGTGGGAGCTTGGGTGCTGATTGTGAGGGGGGAGGGTTTGCCACTCTGGCCACAATTATGCAGCCATCACAAGCTGCATAATTCACGGGCGCTCTGCTCCAGCCTGGCCAGTGTGTGCTGACTTGGGAAGCCAGACCTCTGGGTACTTGAGGTTCCCCTGCTGGGCACTGGGTGTAGCTGTGAGCTAAGGTGAGGCGGCTGTTCCAAGGACTGTGGGCTCTGTAACCATGGTTCTTCTGGCCAAATAAGGCAGACGGGCCACTACCCTTCTAGAAGGGGCAAGAGCAGGGAGTATACTTCACCTCAGACCGAAGTACAACGTTCTCCTCCTCAAGGTCCTTAAGCTTCTTTTGAAGTGAATCCAAGTGAAAGTAATTCTGGACTGAGGATGAGGACTCATTTCTCTTTAATCTGGGGGAGAAAGTGCCTTCACTTTCCAGGGGGAAACATTTCCTCCCACCCCCCAGAGGTCATGGGGACTGCCCCGCTCCAGGGAAGCCAGCGCCCACTTATGCACCGGTGCCACCACATCAGACCTTTTGTGCACAATTTGCAGTTGCTGCATAACCTTCAGATTCAGGTGAATCAACTTATCTGAAGCCTGCATAACTCAGGAGAGCCTGGGAGTTTGACATTTAACACTCCCACATGCAAAGAACTGTTTTAAGCACTTTGCATATAACTCAATTAATGCTCATGACCCTAGGAACTGAAAGTATTATTATTATTTCCATTTTACAAGTGAGGACACAAGCACAGAGAGGTTAAGCAACTTAGCCAAGAGCACACAGCTAGTGAGTCACTCTCCTCCAAGCGCAGATCACTGGGCTTCTAGGGTCTATATTTCTTACAGGGGGCTTGCCCGACTCTCTCAGAAGCTTATCTTCTCATAGTCCGTCAGCTCCTCTGACTAAAGAACCTCGTATTATCCTCCAACAGCACAGCCCACCCTGCCACCCATGAACATGCCAGGCCAAATCAACCTAAACTGGCAAATAAAAGCGAAGACCCAGTAAGAGGAAAAGTAAACCCTGTCTTTCCAAGGCCCACTAAAATAGTATAATCAATCTGTTCAGGCACTTGGAGATGCCTGGCTTGGAGAAGGCTGGGAGGAGCTGACCCGCACTGCTGGCAAAGGTGACCTTGCCCAGGCAACCCAAGGCCACTGTCCACAGCGCTGGCTCCCTGGGACTTACGGTGTGGAGCAAACGGACTCGGGCTCGCTCTCCTCCGCGGCTCTGGTGTAGAACTGAAGCAGCTCATCCTTCATGGACAACTCATGCTGGAGCTGAGACACCTGCACACAGACAGAGGGGTGCCTTACTCGCTTCCCAAACGTGACCGCGCCCCAACTCCTGCTCAAACACTTGCCGCTTAATGCCAAGATCTTAAAAATTCGTCATTAAAAGTGAAGCATTTAATTGTGCTTTTCAAAGAAAACTAAGGGTTCAGTTTGAGCCTGTTTAAGAAAAATACTATCAATTACTGCTTGGAAGAAAACCCTGTCAAAATTTATAATTTTTCCTTGGGTACAGAGCTAAGATGACAAGGCTCTGGAATGATGATTGGGGAACAGGCAGTTTATGGGTTTTGTAAGTAACCAGATGATCAACCAGAGAAACAGATCATGTTAACAAATGAAAGAAGAAACCAAATGCCCCCTGGGACCAGCACCCTGGCACTGCCAGCCCTGGGTGGGTAGCGACAAGCAGCTTGTCAACCCTCCTGGCTTCAACACTTGGAGAAGCTCTCGGCCCCACCCTGTGACTGCTGCACCCTCCCAGGCCACCCCATTCTCCGTCCCCGTGGCCAGGCTGGGCAGACCTTGCTCTGCAATCAAGGGTCATGAGATAGGAATTTCAGATACTGGAAGAAAAGAGGCGGCCACCAGACACGGGCCATACCAGCCCCAGCTAGGTCGGCTGTGCAAATCACACTGAAATAAATAAACCCATGTCATAAACACTAGCCCTTGCCTTATCACCAGTCAGCCCCGATGAACAGGAACCAATACTGGAGGTGAGAACTGCAGCTATTTTCATGTTCTTATCTCTAATTTGAGTTGGGGAGGTGTCTGCTTTATCCCAACTTTTCTACACAACATAGTGAACATATTATGTCTTCCAGAGAGATAGATGGCTTTTGCTTCAACACCTAGACTGATAATTGAATGATGTGCCAAAGGGAACACATTTCAGATTCGATGCTTTTCCAATGGGGAAAAAAAAAGCATCTCCACTCCCAAAGCATAGGATGCAATTGGTGTGAATGGAGGAAACGCCAAGCCAGGGCAGCAGCACAGGGGACAAGGGTAACGACTTACTGGCTCTGGGGTGGCAAGTCCCTCTGCTCAGAAGGGGCCAAGAAAGCGGCCAGGCTGACCTGAGAGAAGGGGATTCGGGTCACGAAGCTGGGGGCAGGGAAGGTACGGTCAACTTCGTTCCTCCTGATCATCTTTTACAGAAAGTCCGGGATTAAAGCCTTTCTTATAGAGTGGCAACTCTATTGCATCACATTAAAACTATAATTAAACTCAGAGAAAAAGAGCTGGTGATAGCCTTCGCAAGGAAAACATTTGAATACATCTCAGGACATGCTGAGGGCATCCCTCCCAAGAGTTTCTGGAAGAAAATAAGGGAGGAGAAACAAGCAGGAGGAAAGCAAGATCCTCACAGTTAAAATCCACTTTGAAAGAGCAGCTAGGATGATAGGGAAGAAGCTAAAAAGTGGGGGCTGGCGCTGAGCATGTAACCCCTGCCCTCCCAGCCCAGTCTGGCCCTGCAGGCATCCTCCTCCTGCCCACACCACACCCCTTCCAGAAAACCCGTGCTGCTCCTCCAAAACCCGATCCCTTAAATAAGCCTAAAGCTTTTACATCCCCACCCCTCTCACCACTGATGCCCATCAGCCAAGATTTGTCGCATGGAAATAATAGGGTTTCTATCATGAAAACAATACACTACTTTTTGTTTTGTTTTACAGACACAAAATTATATTGTAAGGATGAATGTGCAGTCGCTGCTTTACTCTGCAGCCTAGGCTGCCTCCTGACAGGCTCCTTTTCTGGCCCGCCCACACGCACCCCATGCGGGATTCCCTGCTCATTGTATCAGTCTGCATGAGCATTTGCCAAGTGCTGTGTGTCTCCAAGCCTATGAGACAGTCTGGACTCTTGGAGGACAGGCCCTGCCTGGGACTGGGCACTATGGGCCTCCTGGCTGCCTAGGGCTGTTCCCAGCCCCACCATCGGCCCACACTGTCGAAGGGAGACACAGTGAGCAGGGCAGTGGTGGAAGGCCGCTCTTAGCACTGGGCTCTGGCCTCGTGAGGGTCCTTCTGACTGGGTCCCCACCCATCGCTTCCTCCCAGTGCACCTGTGGCTCCCTAGCCCTGCAGCTCCCCAGCCCCGCCACAGCTTACCTCCTCTCTGATGTGTTCCACTTGCTCTTCCAGCAGCTCGTTTCTCTCGGTTAGTGTCTTGTTCTTCTTCAACAATGACTGGCCAATCCGAGCAGCCAATTCTAAATCCCGCTCTTTCTATAAAAGGCGAGAGCAGAGATTCAAAAACCCTGTGTGTCTTGAAGGAGCCAGCGGTGCTCAGTGTTCACCGACGAGAACAAGGGTGTTTAGAAATAACAAAGGAATCAATAATTCATCATCCCTGTCAGCATTCAATACCCTGATAAAGAGAAAGACGCGAAGCCAGCGGAATGGCCGGGAATGACACGCACCTCAAGCAGGAGAGGGAACCTGCAAAGCTAATGGAACAATAGCCTTCGGCAGGAAAAACATGCCTCTGAACACATTTCTCTGCCACTGCTGAGTCCTGGGTCATGGCGTGGTGCCACCTCTCCACCTGGGGCCTGGCTATTGCATCAGGGGACCCAGCACCAGGAAACGTAACTATGTGCTGGAGGAATGAACACACACATTCCACAGCACTCTCACAATAAAGTCAAGTGCTGACCCCGACACGCAGCCTCTTCAGCACACGTGAAGCTGGAATTTACTGAGTTCCTTCTATTTGCCTTGCAGGAACAAAAATGCTTGTTGGCTCTGAACTATAACCACAGGTTTCTTTTCCTAATGGAGGTTACACAGGCTTATATTAAAAAAAAAAAAAAAAGCTTTCAAAATAGAGAGGCATTGCACAAAGCTGGCAGACTTCAGAGACAGACTGTGTTAAGGTGCCCCCGTTAGAATTTTCTGTTGGTTCAGCTGATGGCAAAGCACAATGGAAGAAAATCTTCAGGGGCACATGAAGACACAGCTGCTTCACGAGACGTCCTCAACAGTGGGGGCGGTGGGTAGACATCATCACTGAAGCAGACTGACCCACCCTGCTGGAGGGAATATTAGCCACTGTGGTCAGTTTGACTACCTCATGATGGCTAGAGGAGGAGGACTATGGACAAGTAAATTATTTCAGAAGCTTATACTAATTATTCTCTCACTTGGTATAAAGCGTGGCTGAATGGGAACAGGTAGTTTAGAGCAGAAGAGAAGCTGGGGAGAAGGCCTACCTGATCAGCTATCCACTAACCTTGTTAGCTTCAGCTTAACAAGGACTAGGTACATTCTAGTTTCTCAAAACACAGGTTAGAACTTATTGATAGGTTGAGAATTAGTTGAGTAATAGCAACTGACATTCTTCTCAGAAATGGTGAAAGGTGGGGTTCTAACTGAACACCCCGGGGGACCCAGTTCCCTCATCTGTTGGATGGGGGAGGGTGGAGGAACAGGCTAGCTGAGACATTCTTAGAATGAAAGAGCATTCCAGCTTTTTGATTGAGAGTTGCATAATTAAAAAAAAAAGGCAGCTTTTATTTCTAACTTCTTACACATCCACCAAATTATTCAATGCAGTTACAGCAGACCCTTCTTATCACAGGAGTTTTAGTGAATTATGAGCAGAGCACTTGAGGTCCATGCAGAGTTCAGGAAGACTCTGGATTCCACGATGACCTGACTCTCCCCCGAAGTCTCCACAGTCCCAAAACCCGTAACTGCTGTCCCACTTGACAGCAGTGTGACCCTAACTCAGATCTTTAAAGTTCTCAGACCAGTACCCAGCGGGGCTTCCTGCTCATCAGGCTGCAGCCTCGCTGGTCTGTGTTGCCATCAGGCATTCAAGCTGCTGAGTTCCAACAAGCTCAGACACTCTGTAGGCTGATTCCACTGCAAACAAATCAAGTAAAAACAGTAATAGTGAAGACCAGCTGGGTCAGGCCCTGCTAATACTTGAAGGCTGTTCGGGGCTCTTGTTGGCACCCACAGCCAGGTCCTAAGAGGGATGGGCGCCAGGTGGGCAGAACACGCGTAGCACTGAGCACAACACCCACGGTCCTCATCCCTTCCCATTACACCCCAATATCTCAGATTCCAGGGCCTCCTCAGCTCCTTGCCCCCCAGGGGAGCTCTCCCCTATCACCATGGAAAATTCAGTCTTCAATAGAAAGAAATTTTTCTACTGGGAAAAGAATTAGAGTAAAAATGCTAATGGGGAAATTTTTAAAAGCTGAAAAGCTATTGCAGAGTCTCTGTTTTTTTCCCTACTTTTACCTAAGGGCACAGGCTGGTGGCGTTTCTCCTTGAGAACAGGAACGAAAAGAACTCCCCACTTCTCATAATCAGCTAATTTATGACCAATGTTTACTTCCAAAAACAAGAAAAAGGCGAGGAAATGACAGACTCAACTACAGTGAGACTGAGAGACTGCCAAGCAATAATTTAGGCCAATGGAGATAAGCTATTTGAAGAATTGGCTTTTTTACTCCCCAGAAAACATGGCCAGGTGGAGCTTGTGGTAGCTCGGAGAGCTCTGCTCTGTCCCCCCCAACGTGGCTTTGCTTACAGAGACTGTACAGGCACGTCAGCCCCTCTGCCAGCAAACGCTGTGCTGCCCGACACGCCCCTGGAGATGGAGAGCAGCCTGCCTCCCACACTCAGCAGCTGACTCATCTCATTCACCAATTCAGGCTAAAAGCATGACTAAGGGGCCCTGGAATAACCCTCTCCAAGAAAACGGGGGAGGAGGCATGCTTTGCCCAAAGGTAAATTCCCAGCAGCAGTGAGTCAGGGCAAGCCTCGGAATCCTCTTCCTCTTAAATCCAGACACAAACTCTCCTCCCTGGCCAAGGGCCGGGTTTTGGTTATCGTGTGCAGGTCCCCGGCCTGAGCGCCCAGCCCGGGTGTGACAGGCGTGCAAGCCCAAGCCACGATGGGACGGATGGCAGGGAGGCCAAGAGAAGCACGACACAACCATCCCACGGCTGGGCACCAGACTTGAACCAGGAAGCCCGCCTGGTTCCAAAGAAGGGCCTTAAGGCAGACGTGATTCTTCTCAGGACAAGAATGGTGTTACAATCGAAACAAAGACAGGCACGCACCCTGCCAGGATGAGCTGCTGAAAATAAAACCAAGAAGGCACAATAAGAGCCACCTGGAGAAACGCCCCACAAGTGTCCAGCAGCTCAGGAAGGGGACTGGGTGTGTGTTTCGGGGATGGTGATACAGAGGGCTTGGAACATGGATGCTGCGAGAATGAACAGAAAAGAGAGAAACTCCAGTCTCACTGCTGAGGCTCCTGGAGATTGAGGGGTGGCCCTGGGACAAAAATAAAGGTACAGACGTGGGTCCCCTCTCAGGAGCGTGGATGACTGATTGGCTATGGAGTGAGGAGCGGATGCTGGGAACTCTGGAAGATCTGGAGAGAGGGCAGTGGTGAACCATTTCAAGTGAGTGGTGCCAACCAAGCCAACCTCCCACATGGCGAATGCCAGCTGTCCAGATGGCTGCAGCTGGAGAGCCCCCCAAGGCCCGGCCTACTAGGCCGAGCCAATGCCTCCCGGCACAGCCAGAAACCAGGACCACTTTATCTGGGGCTGAGGAGTTTGTAATGTATCTGATGTGTGGGTGGTCAAGGGTCTCAGCTCCTGACCCCACTCCACTCAGCTGGGCCTACTGGGGAGTGGCTGGCCTTGGGGCGTGGGGGGTGGGGGGTGGGCAGGTGAGTCCTCAGGATCTCAGAGGGAACTGGAAGCTGGTGTGAGAATGTAGGACAAGCAGAAGGGAGGAAAACAGGGAAGGAGACAAGGAAACAAAGTGAAAGATGTCCTCCTTAAACCTGTGTCTCCCCACCCCTGCTTGGCCCTCTGTCTATGTTTCAACCTTGTCCTACCACTGCCTGAAAATGCTAACAATGGTTTCTGGCTCCCTCCTTATTCCCCTTTCTTCCTGGAAGGGCTAATGAATAGTCTCTATTCTGGAGTAGAAACAAGAGGCTAACAGTTTGCATCTGCGCATTGAAGGGTTGGTGGGGATCAGGGGTGGCTTCAGTCTAAAGAATTCGATCCATACTTATTAAGAACCTACATACCCTGGTCTGTTCCAGGCACGGGACACACACATGAAACCCCTATTTCTATTTTTTTTTTTAAGATTTATTTATTTATTTATACAAGCACTGGGTACAGTCAGAAGCACAGGAGGGTGAGAGAATTCACCAGAGCCAGAGCGGGGAACAGAACAGGCAGACTGACGAAATACACTGCTGAGGGGAGCAGCAGGCAGCAGGAGAGGTCTGTGCACCATACAGGACCCTCCTCCAGTGGCCAGGGAGCAGCCGGGGATTGAACCAGCGCTGCAGAGGCTGCGGGCAGCTTCGCAACCCAGCACTCAACCACTGTGCCACCGGGGAGGCCCAAAACCCCCATTTCTACAGTACTTTATTGCACCTTAATTCTCAACTGCCAACACGCTGCTGAGAAGAAATTCAGAAAATTACAGCCTCTAAAATACCAGCTGCTCAACTAATCCTGAGCAAGTTCCCTAAGTTTTTCTTGCCTGGCTTATTTTTGTCATCTCCATGTTGACACTGCATAACATTCCCTTAACCCGACGTAAATTAAAAAAACAAATAAACAAACCACATTATAAAGGTATAGATAATGAAGCATTTTTTTCAGACATTTTTGTGGATACACTTAAAAATATATTGCAGTACATGTTTTAAGGATTTCGTTTAAACCTTAAGGTATTTGTTTGTTTATTTATTTATTTAGATTTATTTATTTATACAGGAACTGGGGTACAGTCAGAGGCATGGGAGGGTGAGAGAATTCACCACAGAGAGAGCGCAGAGCAGAATGGGCAGATGGACCCTAGACACTACTAAGGGGAGCAGCGGGCGAAGCAGACAGGAGAGGTCTGCTGCACCATGTGGGAATCTCCCTGGCCGGCCGGGAATCGAACCCGTGCTGCAGAGGCTGTGGGCAGCTTCATAGCGCGGTGCTCAACTTGCTGCGCCACCAGGGAGACCCTAAACCTTAAGGTATTTAAATGATGCCTCTTTTGTGTGATGAATGCAGTCCTTCTTAAAATACCTTTCACAAAGTTACAGTTACTGAGCAGCTAAGTTATACCCCCAGAGGGGGTATAAGTTATATTACAAAATAAGTCATATTTACAAGTTATATTTAACTAATATAAGTCAATTACAAATGATTCGTTGCCTTCCCCAAAACTCTTACCTCCTCAAGAAGCCGAGTGACAGCGTCTATGTCATTATATGTCTTAGTCATCTGGCCAACTCTTTCGGCACATAAAACTGCAAGAAACAAAAAATGACAGTGAAATCACTGATGACAACAACCTGCCAAACAAATGACTCATAGAAAGTAGAGGCTCTAGTAACACTATCGTATATTTGAAAGTTGCTAAGAAAGGACTTTGAAAGTTCTTGTCATAAGGAAATTTGTGGCTCTGTGTGGTGACATGCTCACAGACAGAGTGGCAATCCTTTCCCAGTCTATGCAAATCCCACTCACGCTGCACACCTGAAACTAACCTAATGTTACATGTTCACTATAGCGCCACTGAAAGGGGGTGGGGGCCGAAAGTTGTGTCTATCTATTAGGAACAAGAGTCGTTGGCTTTGCCAAGTTCAACTCACTGGCAGGGTTTCAGAGAAGAGCCCCAAGCTTTACAGGGGCAAGGGGAGAAGGAGTTGATTTCTAATATCTACAAAGCCTTGACAGGGTGTGTGTGTGTGTGTGTGTGTGCACGCATATGCATATTTAGTGGTGGTGTTGAGGCAAGGTGCTGGAACTGGCTAATTTCTTTTTTTTTTTTTTTTACTTTTGTAATAAATTTTATTTTTATATTCCCCATACAATTGCAACCCTCTTATTTTGACCCCAATCCCTCCCCTCCCGCCCCCCCACCCCCCATAGAATGTCTCTGGTTCATAGTTGTTTGTTGATTTTGATTTTCACTTTCTTATAGTTATTCATTTTCCTGGTCCCTTATTTAAGTTTTCTAGATTCCTGCTATGAGTGAGACCATCCGGTATTTTTCTTTTTCTTTCTGGCTTATTTCGCTGAGCATGATCCCTGGAACTGTCTAATTTCTAAAGGCACAGCCCCCAACTCCCCAAATGGTCTCAAATCCAACGCTGTGCAACCAGTTTCCTACCATGAAAACTGAGCATCTTTGTTCTCCTTCCATTTGATTTTTTTAAATCCATGCCAAAAACACTATTATTAATACTGCTACACACACACACACACACACACACACAGATATTTCATTACTAGATAAATGACTGTGGTCATGAAAGGCTGCGTGCAGCCACTTTAGGACTGTACGCCTTTGTTCTCCTTCCACTATCTCCAGTTGTGCGGTGAAAGAAGGCTTTAGTCTGCTGAAAAATCTCAGGGTGGTTTTATTCTAAATCAGCGGCAAGGAATGGATTTGCAGTTCAACAAACACCAAGAAGGTGGTGGCAGGGGCTTAATTCCATGGAGGAAGGAGTGACTGCAAATAGATTTAAGGTCAAAATGTACAATTTTTTGAGACCTGCCACTGTTGGCTAAATTTTAACTTCTCAGTAATTCTTCTTAACCTAGACTCTCAAGAATAATTCCTTAAGAGTCGCAGACTTGGTTCAGCTTCGCACTGACCCATATTTAGTAACAGCCCATGCAAGGCATTTGGGAACTGAAGTGTATTACCAAGCCAGCTCGGTAGCATTACTAAAGACACACTGCAACTGGAATGCAATAGGTCTCTAAATATTTTATTAAATGCAAGTAGAGATCATCCTAGGGAATGAGCTCAGAGAAATCTGATCTGTTAGAATGATTTTCTCACTTAAGGAGAAGACCTGAAATCTGGTTGCAAATTGGAAACCCAAAGAACACAGAGCTCTCAAGAACCAGGAGGGGGCCTCCCTGGTGGTGCAAGGGGTTAAGTTGCAGCGCTATGAAGCTATCTGCAGCCACTGCAGCATGAGTTCGATCCTGGCCAAGGAGTTACCCACAGGGAACAGCAGACCTCTCCTGTCTCGCCTGCTGCTCCCCTCAGCAGTGCATTTCAGTAGATCTGCCTGTTCTGCCCTCCACTCTGTCTTTGATGAATTCTCTCACCCCTTGCACCTCTGGCCTACACCCCAGATCTTGCATGCATAAATAAAAAAATCTTAAAAAAAAAAAAAAAAGAACCAGGAGAGAGGGGGTTCCTCTTCCCCTTCCTCCACCCAACACTTCACTGCAGGAACCCTGCCTGCTGGAGGAGAGTGCATGCGACCCTGCACCTTCCTTCCCTGCCCCTCCCATAGAGCTGCCAGGCCAGGGAAAGGCAAAAAAGATTAATAAGGGTTGCTTTATACCAGAATTTAATTGAATGTAAATGGAGTCCAGTTAAAATTGCTCTAAATAGTTCATCAGCTCTAGGTCAGGAGACAAACTTAAGTGAAGATACACAGAGGTCAGGGGTTAGTCTTAAAGCTGTACCCTGTCCTGCAGACACAGACAGAGGAGCCCTGCAGCCAGGCTGACCTTGGAGGCACTGACATGTCCATTCCATCAACCAGAAATGACCCACAGCAGTTACAAATGACCTCTGTGTGGAAACCTCACGAGGATAGGGTGGGGCCAGCTCATGCTCCCTTGCTTGCTCCCCTCGGAGGACCAAGTCCTCTGCTGTGTTGAAGCAAAAAAAAAACCTGGTCACATTTTAAACTGATCTGGCTCTAAGTCTGTCACCCTAAAATCTAAGAGATCAAAATTTGGAGTTGCTTTTCCACTAGGATTTGTATTAATAATCAGAAATTACACTTACAGTTTTTAAATCACTTTTTTAAATTGCAATCACTGTGGTTGGTTAATCATGTGCAGATAATCCTTGCAAATATAAGAATAACAGAGAGATCCCAGTTTACAAGTGTTGCCCAATTTCCCCCATTGGTAACATTTTGTAAAATTATGTCACAACAAGGGTACCATCATTGACACAATTGATGGATCTTACTAAGACTTGCCCCAATATATCTGCACTCATGTGTGTTTGTGTGTGTGTGTGTGTACATGCACATATTAAGGTCTACACAACTGCACCGTGATTCTATACCAGAAGGATCCCTCCTGTTGTAAGTTATTTTTTTTTAAGGTTTATTTATTTATTGATACAAGCACTGGGTACAATCAGAAGCACGGGAGGGTGAGAGATTTCACCAGAGTCAGAGTGGGAAGTCTGCAGAATAGGCAGACTGAGAAGTACACTACTGAGGGGAGCAGCGGGTGTGGCAGGAGAGGTGTGTGCGCCATGTGGGACCCTAGCCAGTGGCCGGGGATCGAACCGGTGCTGCAGAGGCTGCGGACAGCTTTGCAGCCCAGCGCTCAACCACTGCGCCACTGGAGAGGCCCCTGTTGTAAGTTATTTTTAAATGCTTTAAAATTGAACCCAATAAAATGGACACCTGTGGTTTCTCCAGCATTAACACCTATCAGGCACATAATGTCACCACTCTCACAGGGACAAGAGGCTAGGTGTGCCCTTACACCTTTCACCTTCAGTTAGGGGTGCAGAGAACCTCTCAGAAGTCCCAGGGCCTAGAGCCTGACTGCAGACATCACAGGCAAAAATAAAAGACTACTGTTGACACGACTTCTGTGAATTATTATTCCAGTTATGTTTTCAAAGTACATGTAATCCCAAATGGGGAGGAGGAACTGGAGAAAGGCACATATTGATAATAAAATTATAAATTACAAAATTTACAGATTTACAATGAAAAAATCAGGAAGGCTGCTAAAATATTGACAGTTGGATGGTATTACAATTATTTCCACGCTTTATAAAATTTTTTTTGGTAGTAACCATACACTGAAAAGAAAAAAAGAAAAGAAAAAAGAAACCATACACTGAAAAGAAAGTCCTGCAAGGTGACTTTAGGGGAAATGAGTAACAGCAGCAGCCCTTTCCCAGGAGCTGTGGCCAGGCAGTGCCACACCTGCACGTGGATTATGTCACTCCCCAGAGCAACACTGCCAGTAAGCACACCCCACTTTACAAATGGGAAACTGAGGCTCAGTCTCCAACCAACTGGCCCAATGTCACACAGGGAGCAGCTGAATTTCAGAATAAGAGGAGACTCCCAGCAGGGGCAGCAGTTTAACATTTATGGTGTCCCTGCTGTGTAGGGGGATTTAATGTTCTTTCTCCTTTAATCCTCCCCACAGCCCTGCAGGTGAGGCTCTGTTGGGATGACTACTCTCCTTGAAAGATGAGAAAACTGAGGTTCCCAGAAGCTAAGGACCCAACTGAGGTTGGTGGCAGGGACTGAACCTAGACCAGTCTGGACCCTCTACTAGACTAGGGTCACAGAGGAGGCAGGGCAGGGCTGGGCTGGCCCAAATCGACTATGGTGAGGAAGCATAAACCCAGCAGGAAGTATCTGCACATTGGGGAAAGAGCGATCCTTACCCCAGGCTGAGAGACAGGTTTGCAGAGGAGACTCAACCAAGGCCTGGAGGCCCTGGGCAAACCCCATAATTGCTGTGTCTTGGGTTTCCACTTCCAAGAAATGAGGGGGTAAGGGTGATACCAATGAGGGTGGGAAAATCACAAACCATGCCTTTAAACAGTAACACAAGTACAGGCTGCACTTTGGAAGCATCAACACTCTAGACACTCAATCTATAGTAACTGGGGTCAGGTTTCTCTGTCCATGAGAACAGCGCCCCAAAGGGGGGTCCAGTTCTGACCCAGGGAGCGCTACCAAATAAATCCACTTCCACCCAAAAATGCATTAAGAAAAAATAAAACGTGAATGAGCTGCCATAAGCCTCTATAATTAAGCTTAATGCGAGAGAACTCTGCTCCAAGCCCCAGCAAAGGCAGCGCAGCTGCTGCTCTTACAAAGCTGGTCCACAGGCCACTCTGCCCCTTGCCGAGCGCAGGCTGACACGAAGCAGCATTTGTTATCAGGCACTAGGAGACCACAGGAAACACCCTGGTGGGGGGTGGGGGAACCCTGGGCAGCGGGTCAGGGTGTGCGGGCTCCTTGAAGGAGACTGAACTTTACCATGGGACAGTGGGAAGCCACTGGAGGGTTTCAAAGGGAGAATGTCCACATGAGAGTTGTAGTTCGGAAGACATTCTGGCTACGGTTCAGAGAAAAGGGGGTGGAAGGGGGGTGAGGGGCCTGGCAAGGCCATTTAGAATGATCTGTGCCAAGGCGGGTCATTAACCCAAATGGCAGGGGAGATAAAGAGAAGTGGTCTCTTTTCCTGACAGGTTTAAGAGAAAAGACTGGGTGGGAGAGGA